GACCCTCGGAAGCTGGTGACGCTTTGAAGCTGGGAGAATGTGTAACCAAGTTCCGTCATCTGTTCACGGAGCATGGGCGACCGAAAGGAGTGACGTGTGGTGTTGGTGTTGGTGCTGGTAGTGCCCAGTTGGACACTTTAGGATGGTGGTTGTCTTACGATCGTCATCTGAGCTCGGAGAGGTTGCGGGGGGTAGGGTTTACCGAGCAAAGAGATCCAATTGAGGGCTGGCTGGATGCATTCGAGAGATTCAGAAAAGCCGGGATTATCCTTTGAGAAAGGGAAAGTACAATACTATGATTCTCAACCCAGCTTTTTACTGTCTCAAGTCAGTGGCCCTTCTGGTCATCTACAAGTTCAATCAGGTGGAGGAAAATATGTTCGAAACACCTTAATCAGATCGGGAATATCAATGCTCTGGACCCGGCAGTGCTTGCCTCTAATTTTTTGCATGAGTGATATAAGCTGGAAGATTCCACGCAAACCACACGGGGTTTTGCCTTGTATATCTAGCGACTGACACATGCTGTTCCAGATGATTGGATCTTTAATGCTGACAGCCCTGTCACAACACAAAACTGTTTACCCCTCCATTTCTTCAAACCTCAACAATCCACTTGAGATATACGTGACTCTGCATTAACTTTGCCCGGTGGAACTCTAGTGAGTGCTCTGAGTTCATCAGAGTTATGATATGCACAACCTGCAAAAATGACCCTCACACATGATGACTACACGGTCGCATGGATCTGTGCGTTGCCGCTAGAAATGGCCGCCGCAAAAACGATGCTTGACGAGTCCCATCCTCTACTGCTCCAACCGAAAACCGACCATAACGCTTACACACTTGGGAGTATTAGCGGTCACAATGTGGTAATAGCATGTCTGCCGTCCGGCGTATATGGAACGATATCTGCTTCCACTGTGGTGTCCCACTTGGTCTCTACCTACACGAACATCCGCTTTGGACTGATGGTCGGCATCGGGGGTGGAGTTCCCAGCAACAATGCTGACATTCGCCTTGGCGATGTGGTGGTAAGTAAGCCAACAGGAACCTCAGCTGGTGTTATCCAATATGACTATGGCAAAATGTTGCATGACGGACAATTCCAGCATACTGGGTCACTCAATAGACCGCCGCCGATATTGTTGAAGGCTATGGCTCAAATGGAAAGCGACTATATGACAGGGAAGAGACTGGTTAGCAGAACCATGATCGATGCACTGCAGAAAAATGAGGAGATGAAAGAAAAGTTTTCACGGCCTCAGAATGATTGGCTATTCCAACCAACATACAATCACAAAGTGATTAGATCCGACTGTTCAGAATGTGATCAGTCTCAGCTGGTGAACCGCCCTCTGCGAAAATCCAATGACCCTTACATTCACTATGGCTTGATAGCTTCTGGAGATCAAGTGATGAAAGATGCAAGTGCTCGGGATTCAATTGCCCAAAAACTAGATATTCTCTGTTTTGAAATGGAGGCTGCTGGACTCATGGATGAGCTCCCTTCACTTGCTATTCGAGGAATCTGTGACTACTGTGATTCTCATAAACAAAAGCAGTGGCAGGGATATGCCTCCCTTGCTGCTGCTACTTACGCCAAGGCTCTCCTGTCGAAGGTTTCGATTTACCATCGCGAGCAGGAATCACCCAAATCAATAGAACCAGTTTGGGCAGTCCCTTTTGGGAAGAACCCGCGATTTGTTGGTCGTGAATCTGAAATCACAGAAATTGAGGGCCTCTTGATGCAATCACATGGACCATCCAAAATCGCAATCTACGGCCTTGGAGGAGTTGGAAAGACACAAATTGCCCTTGAATTGGCTTACCGCATGCGCGAGCGAGAGTCTAGTTGCTCAATTTTCTGGATCCCATGTACAAGCTACGAGAGTATCGAACAGGCCTACATGACTATCGCACATAAAGTAGGGATCCACAATGTGAAGCCAGCAGAGGCGAAAGATCGACTAAAGGTATATCTCAGTCAGGAGAGAGCAGGAAAGTGGCTCCTTATCTTTGATAATGCAGACGATATGGATATGTGGATACAAACCAGTACCGGTGCCCTGGTACTAACAGATTTGCTGCCTCAAAGTGAGCAAGGACGCATCCTATTCACTACTCGAAATCGAAAGCTAGCCGTGAAATTAGCATCTTCTCATGTGATAAACATTTCTGAGCCAGATACAGAGGCGGCTTTGAAGCTTCTAGGGAAGTTACTGATCGAGAAACAACTCCTTAATGATCGTGATGCAGCCATTGGTCTTCTTCATCAGCTGGCACTCCTTCCACTGGCAATCGCCCAGGCAGCAGCATTCATCAATGAAAATAAGATTAGGCTCTCTGAATACACTGCACTTTTACAGGAGCAGGAGCCAGATGTGATTGGGCTGCTGAGTGAACACTTTGGGGATGAGGGGCGATATAAGGACATCCAGAATCCAGTGGCTACCACTTGGTTAATCTCATTTCACCAGATTCAGCGATTGAACCAAACTGCCGCCAATTATCTATCATTCATGGCCTGTATACATGCTCAGGATATCCCACAATCTTTGCTTCCCCCTGCCATGTCTAGAAAGGAGGGAATTGACGCCATTGGCCTCCTTAAGGCATTCTCCTTCGTCAGTCAACAAGCTGGAGACCATTCTTTGTGTCTCCATCGACTGGTCCACCTTTCAACTCGGAACTGGTTGAGAAAGAATCGACTATTTAGCCAGCAGGTATTGAAAACAGCAGACCGATTAAGCGAGGTTTTCCCCAGTGATGACTATACTAATCGGAAGCTGTGGCGGGATTATCTACCACATGCCCTTTCGTTAATTAAAGAAGGTGACTTTCAAAAAAGGCAGGAAAAATACACCGATTTGGTTCAGAAAATTGGGCAGTGCCTGTATAGTGATGGCAGATACACTGAAGCGGCTGTCGTGTTTAAGAACGCCCTGAGAGTGCAAAAAAAGAAGCGTGGTGATATGGACCCTTCAACACTTACCAGCATGGCTTGGCTAGCATCCACATACCGAAACCAAGGGCGATGGATGGAAGCAGAGGGACTTGGAGTGCTGGTAATCAATACTCGCAAGCAAGTGCTTGGCCCAGAGCACCCGTCTACTCTAGACAGCATGGCCAACCTGGCAGCAACATACCGGAACCAAGGACGATGGAAGGAAGCAGAAGCACTAGTAGTGCAGGTGATGAAGATGCGGAAGCGGCTGCTAGGCCCAGATCACCCTTCCAGTCTGAACAGCATGGCCAACCTGGCAGCAATATACCGAAGCCAGGGACGATTGCAGGAAGCGGAAACGCTGGTAGAGCGGGTGTTGAATACCCGCAAGCAAGTGCTTGGCCCAGAGCACCCCTCCACTCTAGATAGCATGGCCAACTTGGCAGCAATATACCGGAACCAAGGACGATGGAAGGAAGCGGCAACACTGACAGAGCAAGTTATGAAGAGGCGCAAGCAGTTGCTAGGCCCACAGCATCCTTCCACTCTGAACAGCATGGCCAACCTGGCCAATACCTGGAAATCCCAAGGAAGGATTAAAAAAGCCTTGGTGTTAATGGAAGAGTGTGTTGTACTCCGCAATAAAGTACTAGGGCCTGACCATCCAGATGCCCTATCCTCCTCACGCGCACTGGGTAAATGGAAAAAAGAACTGGGCCAATCACAGGCACCTAGTCGAAGGACCAGATGATGAAGACATTGAATATTGACTTGGCTCGGAGACCCAAGAAAGGTTCAACTAAAGCCTTTTAACTGCAAGAACTTTGATTCGCTATTAGAGCTGGATTACCACAGCTGCTGGTACTAGGCTCGCCCTCCAATCGTTCCTCGTTAAGGGTTTGGATTGTAGATTGATTGATTCCTTACTTCGTTTCGGCACCAGGCTGGCCCGAAACCCTCGTAGACCCCCTCGTAGATTCCCACATATATGCCCCCATCTCGGCCGGGGCCGAGATCACCGGCTACCTTGCCTCCCCCAGAGCCGTCACGCCTGCCTAGGTGCCCGTACAGGCCCGCCCTGCTCCTAAGATAGCCGCTAGCTCATTCGGATGCCGCAGGGCCCCAAGCCTGCAAAGGCTCTGAGGGCGCCACCACCGAACGGTGCCGGATCGGCAGGCCGGGGCCGTGAGTGGCAACGCCGCACCACCAGGAGTGACTAGTATTATGCGATAGTGTGTGATAGCGGTTTGTCAGCCATCGCCTGCTGGGGCTGTCAGTAGTCGCGCGCTGCTGGGGCGCTCGGCCCGACCCATGCCGGCTGGGTGGCTTCGGCCAGGTATGTCAGCCGGCCGGTGCTTAGCATGAGCCGCGCGGTCCGCCGAACGTACTGCTTCTCCGTCAAGGCTTCTGTTAGGTTTCGGGGTCCCTTCCGTCCATGCCGCGCGCCGAAGGTCGTCATACTAGTTGCAGCCGGATAGCACATGGTGGGTCGTCTCTGGGGCCCTTCCGCACAGGCAGAAGGGGTCATCGGCCTGGTTGATGGTTGAGAGGTAGTGATTCAGCCCGATCTTCCAGGTGCGCATCTGCGCCAGAGCGCTGCGCTCGTTGGCAGCAACCCCACGGTGCGCCGCCAGCTAATGGAAGTAGATGTCAAGCACTGTATCTAGTCGAGGAAGCAAGTCCACCAGCTCCGAACTTGATATTGGCCAGGGCCTGCTTACAGCGCGCCCCGGTTGTCGGAATATATCTCGGCCCGTTTCCGAGGGCCGCGGTCAGGCGGTGACCGCCAGCTGTCACGTGGCAACGGATCTTGCTTGATAAGCCGCAAGGCCAGCACCAACCCCGCAAAACTCCGCGACCGGCACCGTTGTTCCAAGATCCGTCCCCAGGTATCGTTGGCGGCAGATGGGGGGGTCCAAGCATACCGCCTATCAGCTATGGCTTAAGATTGACACACGGACAATGATAGACCGAAAGATCCGATCAGTTAAAACATCCAACGTGCCAATTCGCTCGCGGAACGGATGTACGACTTGCAAGTGCGATTCCTAGGATGACCCCCGTCGTTCAGCCGGCACTGACCATCCTAGAATCCGTAAAATCAAATGCGGAGAAGAAAAGCCCAACTGTATTCGATGCACCAGCACAGGACGCAAGTGTGAATACACTAGCCCAGCTCCATCGCGTCGTGCCTCAGCATCAGCATCCAGCGTGGTTCCAGTCCTGGACCGGCCGCTTTCGGTCTCTCCGAGTACTGTATGGCTAGAGCGGCGGGCCTTCGCCCATTATTCCCAACACGCTGCGCCATTCATTGCTGGGGTACTGGACATCGACTTTTGGGGTGGTGTTATCACCCAGGTATGTCAGACTGAGCCTGCGGTGTGGGACGCGATCAATGCCATCAGTGCCCTCTTTGAGAATCCAGATCTGTGCTCTGATCCTGTCCGGCTCAGGCAAAATGACAATAAGTCTCAGGGGTTGCGTCCTAGCCACAGTGATGCCTTACGCTGGTACTCGCGCTCGTTAGCCACTATGCGCAGGCAAATCGACCAGGGGAATGTTGACATGAATGTAGCGTTGATTAGCTGCATCTTATTCATCTGCATAGAAATGGTGCAGGGGCAGGTGGAAGAGGCGCTACGACTGTACCAGCAGGGGGTAAGCCTCATCTTTGAGCTCCGGGCAGGTGGTACTAGGATGTGGTCTTGCACGGATTTCGCTCTTTTACAAGACACAATCTTCCCTATTTTCCTACGACTTGGCACAATTGCGCAGCGTGTTTCGGGCTTCCCTGTTAGTAGCTTACTCGATGAAATGCAGGATTGGACCGAAAACACATTCTCCTCACTCAGCTCAGCCCGTCTCGCAATGGCTGCTCTCGCTGCAGAGGGCATGATCTTCCAGCGCACTGTTGAGAAGCATTTTGCGAACAAGGGCCACGGATGCGCCATTCCCCCGGCGTTGAAGAGCAAACAGGAAGATCTCCAGAAACGATTAGCAAAGTGGCATCACGCCTACACCAACTTGGTGAATTCATCTGACCCATCAGAACTTCCTATTAGCGTGACCTCTCTCTTGCTTTCCTTCCACACTGTCACATCGATTGTTACCGCTGTTTCCACTGAGCATCTGGAGACCGCATATGACGCCTTTCTACCCCAATTCCAGCTCATTGTTGAACAGTCCGCTGTACATCTTGAAGCTTCAGCTGGCCCGAATGGCAGGCAGCCGCCATTCACCTTTGAGATGGGTCCTGGTCTCTCGTTGTTGATGACCGTTATTAAGTGCCGTGACCCATGGCTGCGCAGAAGGGCCTTGGAATTATTGAAAAAGGCACCTCCAGTGCAGGCGCTGTACAAGTGTCCACCGGGTGCGACATTGGCGGAAGCTTTCATAAACTGTGAGGAATCAGGGACTATATTTAATGCCTCTAGCCCTGGATGTGCAGGTTCTTATGGCGAAGGGAGTCATCGGATGTATACGTTTTCAGAAAGTGGAAGAAGTGAGATCGAATCTACAATCCCTATTACAAAATTGATACCGGAGGAATCTCGAATCCACGGCAATAGTATTTTCTGGCCGTGAGATGACCCCTGGCCATTAGGCGAACCAGACATCTCCAAGTGGTGGTACCGGAGGCCTGATCAGATCTACTTGAAGTTTTCACAGAATCGATTTGATGAGAATACAAAGATGTGGCGAATGGTCCATAACAATGTCCTGATTGACTATTAATATGTCTCTATGTTTGCCATGTCAATTGCTACATGGCTTTCACTATAGTTCATGACATGTGAACACCCTAGTAGCAAACTTCTCACCAAATGCATGATGATCACCTGTCAGCAGGTCTGTCGTCACATCATGACCACGCCCTCTCAATCGACTCGTCAAGGATCCCTCGATAACTTCACTCGAGCCTGCCCAGCCAGCATCTCCATATTCTTCAGCCGCAGACCCCACATATACTGCTTCTGCTCGTACCAGGACCAAGGACGATGGAAGGAAGCAGAAACACAGATAGAGCAAGTGATAAAGGGCAGTTGCTGATCCTACAGCATCCTTCCACTCTGAACAGCATTGCCAACCATACAATGCAGAAATTACCTTTAGCGATCGTATACGTCAGAGTAGCAGTACTAGCGAGTTCTGATCTGACTTTCGACCATGTCTTGATAACTCAACGCCGATGCAAAGCTCGGGCATAATATCCCAGGACGAGCTTAAGATTTGACCTCTGGACGCCGACCGCTATCCTGCTTTAACACTCGCTACGAGCTTCCCTTCGGTACCGGACGCAACGGGGTCTCCTCGCCTTCATGATAGACCTGCTGCTCGAAATACTGGTCCACTTGAATGGCATTGCCACTTATCGACCGCAACTCTGTAACCTCACCGCGCGCTTTGGTGGCAGAGGCTTCCGAGTGGTAGTCCATCCGCGCGCCGCTCCCGTTGTAGAGGGTGGCCCAAGGTCGATGGGATTGCTCTGCGTCCCGATAGGGCTGCGAATTCGGGTCGCCCATACGAGAAGGCTGTCCAGACACAGACCCCTTGAGGTTCCGAAGCATGGTCACTACTGCGCGATAGATGATGGGCAGATTGGCACAGAAGATTCCGCCTAGCGGCTCCCAGGCGGAGAGGATCCCCAATGGCACCCCAGCCCCTGCATCATTAGACGGGCGAAGGGTTATGGAGAGTTGATAATAGGCGGACTTACATGTAAAATCGGACGAACCCTGCGTGATTACGACAGAAAGACGGGCAGCACTAATGGCACACGTCCTGCAAAGGGTGAGCTCGCGTCTCATAAACTCAAAGTGTGGTGGGAAGTTCTAACGCCAATCCAATAGAGAAAAGAAAACTGAGAGCAATTTTCCGATTACGAGACATCTGAAGCTTGAAAATGACTGGCAAAGGCAGGGAAAATATCCAGATATCGGTAACCAGGTTGATGACGTTGGTGAAGTAGGTGAATTCCACGAGGTTGAGGCATTTTCCAGGCACATCCGGGTCCCAGAATCGCGAGATGGGCCGACATTGCAGGCCCAGGAGGATTTCCATCGTCATTAGCCACAGAATCACAAAGACAGCTGTGGTGAGGACGACAATGCGAAACTTTAAGGTCACGAAGATGCGATAGTACAGCGCCAACACCGCGAGTTTGGTGCTGGCAATGGCTGCATTATAGAAGTGACTGAAGATATAATTGCCCTGGTTGTGTCAATTGCATTATACTATAATCAGAATACGCAGATCTACCATCATAAACGTTTCTATCTGCTCATCCGAAAGGGCCGCTTTGTGACGTCCAAATCCATAGGGTGGTCCTATGATTAGACATGTCAATCAACAGTCGGCATCTCGCCGTCGTGGGAAGTAGAATTTTAAGTACCGTAGATCAGTCCACTGACGCACACTGCGGCTCCAACAAACTGTGATCATCATGCCAAGGACCTGTCAGATTTCAATGTTTCACACAGACCAAGAGGGTCAGGTTGTTCGATGTAGCGGGGACTTACCGTGGCCCACACCATCAGATAGTCATCCGAACTAAGTCCTACATTGCCTGGGCCTCGTAATTTGACCCAAATGCGGAGTCCAGTCGTCAACAGCTCGAGAGGGATCGGGATGGAATAGGCGACTGTGACTTCGGTAACACGCGACTGCGCCAGAAATGCCGCATCCTGTGCGGCTCTCCAAGAGAGATGCATCGCATCCAGGAACTACATGTCCGACAAGGGAAATAGGGAAAATAAAACACGACGGAGGTGAGAGGGGCGTCTGGCCGTGATAAATCCTTTTAATCCCTCCATCTATGTTATTCTGGCAGGGTCTAGCCCTCCAAGCCAAAATAAATAACGGCAATATATACTGAAATCACGTAGGCGTTCATTGAGTTGGGCGTATTTCATGTGTATTTCCGTAAATTATTAGCCTGTGGGTTCTTGTCTGGTTTGCGGTATCCAAAAAGCAGTATGGCGAAGTCTAGTCAGTACGTACACTTTCGGGCGAAGGTTACAGGCTTGCGGTCACTTCTCATAAGCGATCAGCCAGTGTGACACCTTTCCTACAAGCCATCCTGAGTGAAACCAGTGCAGCAGCTAAACAGACGCTGTACGGCTCACCTCGTGGCTGAATTGGGTCAATCAATATTGCTTAATCCCTGTCGATTGGACTGACTAGGTCTTGGTGGCGTCGCATTGATTGGGGAGAATCGCTGGGAGTGTATCATAGACATTCCCTGATGGCATCTCTGAACTTATGATGGCGGGATAATACGAGATTCAGAGTTCCAACAGGAGATTAGTATTCCACTTTTGGTCAAGGTCTGGTTCGAGCGGCCCGTGGACGGGAAAGAATAAGGTATTAATAATGGGAGATACATTGGAACAGATAGTAGCAGAACGTTTCCCCTGACTAGTGCACTACTTTCTATCGCCCAAATTACATCCGGCTTAATCCCGCAGTCTCCGAACCCCCGATCTTCCAGCTCCAAAAACAGGAAATATCTGATATATCTCCATGTTTTCTCCTCTCTATTTATCCGAATAACCTGTTCCCCATCAATTGAATTGGCACAGGAAGGGAGCCCGATGAAACCCGACGTTCGCCTGTTGTTGGCGGCTACCCTGGCCCCCATCGTGGGTGGTTCCTCTTCTGGCCCCATCGTCGACCTCGGTTATTCGTCTTATCAGGGGTATCATGAGGCCGCTACCGGGTTGAATATCTGGAAGGGGTGTGTACTTACTCCTCTATCTGACTCGAACGCAGCAGATACTAAAATTGACGTGCGCAGCATTCGGTATGCATCACCTCCTGTCGGGCAGCTGCGATGGCAACCTCCAAGGCCTCCAGCCAAGAATAACGGCCGGATCATTCCTGCCGTGGACCAACCTCCCGCGTGTCCCCAATCGGGTGCTGCAGGTACCCCTGCCATCTACGGTTTCAACTCGGGACCTGGTGACGAGGATTGTCTATTCCTGAATGTCTATGCGCCCCCTGGTGCCTCTGATCTACCCGTGTTCGTTTGGATCCGTAAGTTGCTTATTCTCTCCACCCGCCCACTTCCCGCGTGTTCGTCCGCTGATCCCGCTGATCGACAGACGGTGGCGGCTATGGACTGTTTGGCGCTGTGTATGATCCCACTCCGCTCATGAATACCAACAACAACGGATTCATCACTGTGGAAATTCAGTACCGTCTGGGCGCATTTGGGTTTCTTTCGTCCGCCGAGGTTCACAAACAAGGCACCCCCAACGCCGGTCTTCTCGATCAGAGATTTGCCCTGAAATGGGTGCAGCAGCACATCAGCAAGTTTGGTGGCGACCCCAAACGAGTCACCGTCGGCGGCGAATCAGCTGGTGCAGGTGCAGTAATGCTGCAGTCCCTGGCGTATGGAGGAACGAAATCGAATCTGTTCCAGAATGTAAGTCTCATTACTCCAACCGGCTCGCTTTGAACTGACCAGCTGTCCTCAGATCATCGCAGCGAGCCCATACTCACCCCCCATCTATCCCTATGATGGCGCCATTCCCACCACGTACTATGAGCAGTTTGCGGAACAGGCCGGGTGTGGCCGATCAACATCTGCCAGATCCAACCACAAAACAACTTTTGACTGTCTGGTTGCTGCGCCTAGTGAGACACTACAAACTGCCAGCGGGATTGTCTCCGAGTCCGGACTCTTTGGTACCTTTGCCTTTCTACCTGTTGTGGATGGCGGTTTGATCCGCGAGCGACCGTCAGTGCAGTTACTGACCGGACAAATCAGCGGTCGGCGCATTCTCGTCGGGGTATGTTGACTCCTCCCCTATTCCGGCCTGCTCCGGCCAGCTTCGAAGCGAACCGTTGACCGATTGCAATAGAATAACGCCAACGATGGTGTCCCTCTCAGCAACCCCAATGTAGCCACTCGTGCTGCGTTCGACGGCTATATCTCCAAGACCTTCCCCAGACTGACGGAGAAGAACCTCACACGGCTGAAACTTCTCTATGGTACGGCGGACTCACAGCCAAACGGCGACGGACCTCGGTTTGATAGCCTAGGCACTTCCGGTCCGACTGCGAATAATCAGTCCGAAATGGCTACGGGCTTGCAACAAACGGTCTTCAATATCTACGGCGAAACCACGTTTGACTGTCCGGCGCAGTGGCTGGCCGAGGCCTTTGGCGGCGCTTCTCGACAGGCATGGAAGTACCAGTACTCGGTCACGCCGGCATATCACGGTGCCGATCTGAACTCCTACTTCAACCTGGGGGCCTCCTGGCCCAGTGCCGCATTCAATCATGCTTTTCAGAAAATATGGGGCAACTTCATCATGAACGATAGTCCGGTCATTCCTGTCGGCGATGCGACCGCCAACAACAGCCAAGCCGTGGTTCCGGTCGGACGAGATGGCCATCTGAACTGGCCGCAGTTTCGCCCGATGTCTCCCTGGCAGATGGATCTCAACACCACGGGAGGCACCGTCACTCAGGTCGTAGTCACGCCAAACTTGACCTACTACGTTCGGGAGGGAGACGACGTTGTTAACCACTTCCGTTTGGCCAACGCATACACCTGGGAGGGGGACCGCGGACTTCGCTGCGCATTCTGGCGGGCTGTTGCAGACCGGATTGCTCTATGACGTGTCTCTTATGGCCTGGGCGGTATTTCTCGCCTTTAAGACGTTGCAGACTCATCCCTCTAACTTACATTGTACATAGATATCATAGCAAAGTCAGGGGACCATGCGGAACAGAGAAGAGCCTGACAACATACATTTATCACTTATATTTCTTTATCATCCTGTGTGTTGTCAGCAAATGAGGAGCAGGATTGATTCCCCCTTTAAAGAACTTACAATCGCCGAAGCCGAGTCTCCTTCCCCCTGCAATATGTCTGCAACCTAATACAGGGAGTCGCAGACTTTCAAACTCTCAGCCAAGCACTCTCTCCGAAAAATTAGAGCTTTAGACGCGAAACGAAGAGCGTCATCGTGCAAACCCTATTCCATTTTGATACGGGCAAGCAACACTATATCCATGCAGTGCATTAATTTGGGTTCGAACGTCACCCAGAGAATCGAGGGTTGCAGGTTCTAAGAAACGTGGCATCAGTAAAATCCTTCAGAGATAGAGACTTTTCAAGCGTCTCCTCTACGAATACGAGGTCATAGCCATTCGAGAACCTTGGAGGGATCGATTTCAGATGGCCACGTACCACAGTCAAGGATCGATTCGACTTGGTATATTCCACACAATGGGAAACTCAAGTACTGTATGCTTCTTCTTCGCCACACAGCTGAAAGGGGCGCAGTCACATACGCACCACACTCCTGGTCGCAGGGGGTCATCTAACTTGATAAGCTTGTCAATATACTGCCTAATAACCATTTCCTGCACGGCAGTAAGTTTTGTATTCATCGGGGTTCTATATAAACGTGACGGTATCCCATTCCAGCGGCGTCGAAGCCGCTGCATTTGGACATCAAACTCTCGCGCAGTTTTAGAAAGATTAGGCTTTTCTGGCGTTTTAATGCGCGATGCATGGCTTCCTCAATTCAAACTTCTGTATCATAATATGATTCTGGCATGGCGTTGACACATAAAATAAACTGTAAGAAGTGTACGATTTTGAGAAGTTTTATCAGAGAGATTGCAGGGTCGCGCCAAACGCATGACCAAGAATACAAAGCCTAGTCTGACTAGGCCGCAACGTAGTAGGGTCGGTTACCACCTGGGACTGCCAGTGATTCGCCGTGCGGACAAATATCGGGCAAGATTTGGTGATGTCCAATCCGAGGCGGGAACAAATCCCCAGTTCGGGCGTTTGCGATTAAAGCACTCATATGAAGACCTAACAAGCACTAAGAGAGGGCTAGATTGTATGAGTGGTATCAATGTCACGGCAAGAATCCTGGCTTACATGATGGTGGTGTAAGCACTCCCAACGGATTACGCATACTCGGAAGGAATATCGCCAATGGCTAGCCCAAAGAAAATAAATTGGGCCTACAATTGCAGCACAAAAGCAGGGGGATATTGTCACCGCACTATTACAACGTAAAGACGAAGGGGCCCTGTTAGCTTGTTGGACGCACCTGCTGGTATTGCGGACCTTGATGAATTGGCCCATTGGCTGCTCTACTCAAAAAGCACAATTGACTAGTCCCAAACTGAGGCAACATCCTTGACCGTGATAGAGATGGTTCTAAAAGCGTCGCCATTTTACAACAGAGAAATGGACTCATGGTCATCACTTGGGAAAGATCTGCGCGGTAATTACGCTTTCACCCTGGCCTCCAAATACCTCCACTAAAGACCAATCAACCAGCACACGGAGTGTCACTTTACCCCGTGTATCCGGCGTCAACGCTGCATAATAGATACCTGGAAAAACAGTGTTAAAGCTGACATCTCCCAAATTTGTTCGATCAACAAAGAGCTGCTGCGTTGCGGCATCGTAACCAATCACGGTTGCCTTCGAACCGTCCTCGTTTGACCGAACGAGACGTCGAATAGAATCTCCCTGAGCAGTGTAACTGCCCGCAGACATGACCTGAAAGTTAGCGTCACGTCTATGGATTTCCCTGTCACTGGAAGATCGAATTGTGAACCTGGTAAAGTATCCCAGCTATATGTATAATTAACCGGCGACTTTTCTATGGGTGCTAGGCTATAAGGTTCCTGCACAAGTGTGACTTTGGAGTCAATAGTGGCGAGGAAATACTTGCGCATCACGGACATGGAGCTTCGCCAAGGGTTCGTTGGAATATCAGCTCCGTAGACCCAATTGTTAGCCCAACCAACAGCAACCCGCTCATACTCGGGGAGTCCGTTGTAAGTCGCGGCAGCGTAGAAGTCTGGACCGAGGTCTATCCAGTTTGCCTTCCGGTCTTGAGCAAGTGACTCGGACAAGACAATCTCCCCCACGATGATGTGGCCCCAGCCTTCCGTGCCTGTATTGAAATCTGCGATCCCGAGCACTGCAGTTCGGTTGATGAAATTTCTCACGTCCCAACCTTGCCACAACAAAGCTGCAGAATTTTGACCGGTAGCACTGCGGACGACCTCACCCTCCACCTTCAGATTGAGAGAGGTCTCTGTATCGTTTGCGGTGCCGTAGGTGGAGGGATTGTATGGGTGATACCCACCAGCGATTCGAAAATTGATAAAAGCTTCATTGATGACGAAGGATTCGGATGTTACTGTCCCAGTATTGGTATCTCCACTGAAGTACGTGTCCAATACATTGCTATCAGCGTCCTCGCCCGTCACAGGTGTGATTCCAACAAAGTCGCCACTTGCAGTCCAGTTTAGGGTTGCCGAAGAAGATGCAAAGAAGATGTATCTTTCCAATACTCAATAGTGGAACTATCGGGCGGTACGTCGACGGCCGCAGACACATTATTCGCATCCACTGTGAACGTGGTTCCATCAAACGATCCCACGAAATACTGAGTGCCTGAGCCAATAGTGGGCCCTCCAGGATTGGATGTCGGGTCGCGATCGACAAGTCTGTGTACTTTATACTTTATACCCTTCAATCTAACGACAAATTGAAATACAAAAACACAGTGGAGCTGCAATAACGCCAGGCTGGTTTATAGCCACCTTAGGCGTCCGGACTACCATCCTAGCTTAGTAGCGATAGTAGTGTAATAATATGTTCAAGAGGGGTTACCTCGTCGCGGCACGGCGCTGGAGGATGCAGGATCAAGCAGCTACAGTAGTTATTAGCTGCTGCACAGCCCTGGTCTAAACCGCTGCGGGGGTTTACCAGCTAAACTATGCAGTACTATAAGTATTCCAAAGGCGTGGGAATTACAGCAACAACCCCAGCACAAGATTCCCTGATACTCTGATATCCCCAGACCAGACAGCGACAAGAGCGCAAAATACTTTCACTGAAGAAGTAATGATCAAGTCTCAGCCTGATGCGGACATCGTTATCCTGTACCTATGTTGCTATATGTACGAAAAATCCGCTGCTACCAGAACCATTACTAGTTGGCACAACCATATCAACCATGCTCCAGAATATATGAGGACACTCACTCGCACATATAGTTTGCTCATTAGGATCATTCATACTATAGTTACTTAGATATCCCTTGGGTAGGGATGGCTATGTACAGTATTTGATAAAAATTATAGTAAATCATACATTGGTCGCGGGTCGTGCCTTGCTAAATGGTTTGCAGTCAGAGCTTGTAGGCCTGGGTTGGCCTCTATGCACTGGTGCTCTTCGCCCTCGCGTAGATGAGGCCGCTGATAAACCCTAGTACAATGGCAGATACACTCCCAAATGTGACGGGAGCCGCGAAGAAGACAATGCCTGCAACAGCCAGAGGAAGCTTGTTCAGGGCGCCCACCATGGCGTAGGTGGTAGATGATGTGGCTTGAATGCACCAGGCTGTGCAGTACGAGATGAAGACAGCAGCCACGCCAGAGTAGAGGATTCCAATAAATAAGCTTTGTCGTGACTCGGCAGGGAAGTTCCTCTGTAGGTTTTCAGAAGACCAGTCTTCGGCGAGCATGGAAGCGAGCAGCAGAATAGGGATGCTGAGCAGATTATTATAGAACATGACTGAATCAGCGCGCTGTCAGTAAAGATGCTTCACCTACTAGCCTAATACACGCACCATCCCAGTTATCAAAATTCGTCTTCTTGATTACCCTGCGCATGCCCAGTGCGTACAAGGCAGAGAAGATTACATTCGTCCCCATCCAAGTATAACCAGCATTAAGAGCTAATAGTGCTGTGGCTATTGGATCAGAGCTGGCCCCTACAGTAGCAGTTGTCGCGTTCTGGATGTCGGCCCAGGCTGCCACAACGGAGCTGAACACCATCAAGCCAAAAGATAGCAGGGCAAGAGGCTTCACGCCACCTCCAACCCGCAGTGCAATTTCTGTGACCTGTCGCTACTGCATGAGATGCACCTACGGAGGCATGCGCAAGAGGTCCATCGGCTTCGTACCTGAGCTTCTTGCTTCGCGGCGCGTGTAAACTTGGAGTGTGCTTGTCAATTTGATGGCTTTGGTTAAGGCAGGGCGTTGCATCGCACGCGACATCTTAACTGGCGCCATATTAAGTACCACAATGGACTACTGCGCAATCTCCATAGTTAGGGTCGCATTGTCCTGCTGCACAGTATATATCCTTGCTTCCGCACCACCCCCTAAGCGAGCAGCAGTTTCCAAAATTACCCCCAAAACACATTATGCCGCCGCTGTTCGCTCCGCATGTGGGCGAGAAGACCGGCGCGGGGAGTGTCTCGTTGGTATCGTTGCACTTGCCGAAATACGGGTTGCAGCGGTCCGCCTTGCAGGTCGCGATGGTGGAGCCGCAGTAGTTGTTCAGGCCGCAGCAGTCGCCGAAAGCGCTGCCCTCGCATGTGGTGTTGAAGGCGTGGCCGCAGTATCCGTCCTGCGAGACGGGGAACGCGGGGAGAAACGGCTCGCCCGAGGGGACGGGGACGGGGCTGGTGTAGTTCCAGTCCGGGGTGGCTCGGGCGCAGTAGGTGAGGCCGGGCTGGATGCTGGCGGTGCAGTTGCTGGACGAGAGGGACGGGTTGAAGGCGAGGAAGAGCTCCGAGGAGACGACGTAGCTGAGGCAGATCTGCTCGCAGGTCATGTCGCCTGCGGTTTACCACTCACCGCACCTGGTCGACGTGTTGGGCGCCACGACTGCGCCGGCTGGGGGGTCGACGATAGCGGGGGCGTACCCCGGTTGTGGGGTCTGGGCGTTGGAGAAGTTATTGGCGATTACGGTCCATGGCTCTCCTGGGGCAGAGACGCAGGTCGTGGAGCCCCAGTACGGGGTTGACGCGTTGACTAAGTTGTCGCAGCCGTAGTTGATGGCCCCGTTCCAATTGACGAGATCAATCCAGGAGACCCCGCACTCGAGCCCGAGACCGACGCACGTATCACCGGCTTGGACTTTGTAAGTATCACAGGTCTGCGGGAGACAAAGCTCAAGTCCCGCAGGCTGGGTGGATGGCTGTTCAACGATCCCGATCAGCCGACGAAGAGTACATTCTCGGATATCGCAGGATCCGAGGAGAATCAGAAGAAGTTTGCCAAGTCGCTACTTGCGATGATGTCAAAGTACGGCTTTGATGGTGTGGATATCGACTGGTAATTCCCCATCCTTCCACTGATGCTATACACCGTACTAACGAGGCCCAGGGGGTATCCCGTTGCGGAAGAGCGCAGTGGTCGGAAAGAAGACTTTGACAATTTCCTCAAGTGGATGAGGAACCTGCGCTCTCAGCTCCAGAGCAGTGGAAAGAAGTACGGGTTGACTCTGACCCTCCCTGCGAGTTACTGGTGTATGTTACCCATTCATGGCACGTTATTGGCCTAACTAACCGCTATAGATCTCCCACACTTCGACATTAAGAGACTGCAGGAGTCGGTCGACTGGTTCAATGTCATGTCCTATGATATGCACGGCACTTGGGACCAGAACAATACCTGGGTCGGACCATTTCTGAATCCCCACACGAACCTGACTGAGATTAAGGGGGCACTAGACCTGCTCTTTCGCAATGATATTGAGCCGGCCAAGGTAACGATGGGCCTGGCGTACTACGGCCGCAGTTTTACCCTCTCATCACCAGACTGCTTCGAACCGGGCTGCACATACAAGTCTGGTGGTAATGCAGGTCAGTGCAGCAGCACAGTCGGATTCCTCCTCAATTCTGAGATAGACTATAATCAGTGAGAATGGCCTCACTCCCAAGTTCTACGAAGAGGATGCCGTCAAGGCGATCCACTGGGGTGACCAGTGGGTGTCGTATGACGACGCAAACACCTTCAAGATCCGCGGCGATTTGCAAACTCGCAGTGCTTGGGGGGCGTGATGGTGTGGGCCATCAGCCATGACGATCATAAGTCGACCTCTGCCAAAGGGCTGATGACCGGCCTTGGGAAGAAACAAATGCAGCTGCCTTCGTACTCTGCCGCGAGCGCAGCTCCGTCGACATTGACCAAGAGGGATGACAGTGCCGGCAGCAATGTGGACGTGTGTCGTCGGACTAACTGCGGCGAGAATTGTCCCGCCGGGTGGAAATGGATCAGGCGCGCAGATAGCGACACTCTCAGTATGACTGACGAGACCTACTGCTACTCGGGTCAGGATTCCCGCAAGTTCTGCTGTCCAGGCGACGTGGACCTGCCCAGCTGTCAATGGCACGGTATGCCGAAACACGGCGGGAACTGCAGCCCCGGGTGCAAGGACGGTGAGGTCGAAGTCAGCACGCTGGGCTATCCATACTGCCAGACCAAGCATCAGTCTGCCTGCTGCACTGTCACGCCGTCTACAGCCCCCTACGGTGAATGCAAGTGGGTGGGAAGCGCGGGCCTGTGTTCCTCATCCAGCAGCCATAAAGACTGCCCCAGTGATTATCCGACGTTCATCTTTGCCAGTTCCAACGGCGCTGGTGGAGAGCAGACGTGTACACAGGGAGCCAAGAGCTTCTGCTGTAAGGGCAAGGTGCCCTGGCAGTTCAAGAAGTGCTTGTGGCAAAAGAAGGCCACCAATCTCCTAAGAGCAGAGGCATTCTGCGAGAGCTCCTGCCCCAAAGGACAAACTCGGCTAGGAATGCATGCAGGCGACTACAGGCTGGGCTGGGAGGCATACTACTGCGCAGGAGATCCCCCGCCTCCCCCAAAGACTGATGACGGGGGCAGTACTAAGCCGAACACCACCACCGTTGAGCCCCGCGACCCCAATCACCTATACTACTACAAGTATCAGTCCTTGATCTCAAGATATATGCAGGATCCAGGGGCCCCGCCTGATTTCCAGAGCTACTCCTGGTCACCGGAAGAGGATCAAGCACTGGTGGAGCAGACCAAACTGAACCTATACAACTTTGAGCTTTTCAACACGTACAATGCGCGAACAATGGTGTCGAACGTCCAGGCCCTCATCAATCTGTACGACCATACCGGGCCGCCGGTGATGTACGGCGACCATTTCCTGATGGCCGAGATGAATGGTGCGATCAACCAGTCCGGGGGTGGCATTGATCGGTATGCCTATGTCAGTGACTTGATAGCCAACCCGCGGACGGCTGACGAGGCATTGAACTACATGGACACGGCTGTCGATGACCTGTGCACCATTCAAGAGGCCGAGGGCACCGCCCCAGCGAAACAGGATACTCCTGCGGCGGAGAGTGATAATGCAGACCTTAAAGAACGACATATCAATATCATTGATATATCTACCGACTCAAAGGTAAATGGGCAGCCGACCATGCGGACCATCCTGCGCGGCATCAGGAATGGAGACCTGACCCTGCACTATGCCCGGTGGGAACATTTCAACAACCGGAATGGCGACAGGAGCAGAGAAGGTCCTTTACTGGAAATAGCCTATTGGATTGGAATTGAGATCGGGACTCTGGGGGCCAATGCCAACGAGTATCAAGAAACAGAAAATGACAAATGGGTTGTTTTCCATTTCCACTACAATAATGTACGTCCCTTTCTCACCATTCTCTGATGGACCACGGGACTCTGCTGCACGTTCAGTAAGAAGAAGACTGACACATTCACAGGATGGGCTTTTGTTTCGGCCAAAGAAGGGCCAAATGTACATTAGCTGCACCAGCATAACTGTTTTCCACGGGCAAACCCTCGACAACAGGGCGCGTGGTGATAATCGGATCTGGAACCGGGATGACGGCCGTGACGGCAATCCCAACACAGGAAATACGCGATCTAGAGCCCTGCAATGCCCCAGAGGACAGCGGTGGTACATTGCCCAGGCGGCTGCGAGTGCTGCGGGCAACCATTATTACGCAACCGAACTGGCGGAATTCGCGCGTACTCTGTATGACCAGGGATATCTGGGGGCTCAAGCATTCAGACTGATCTACCCGGGCAGCGACAACCCCTTCAAGTTCCATACGTCTCAGTATCAGCAGTTCAGGGACGGAATGAGTCGCAATTTCCTCATGGTTGAGAGGGAGATTATGGCGGGATGGACAGAGTAGGTGCCGCAGCAAATTGGATATATCCATGGTGGATAGATAGAAGCTACTAAATGTGCAGTGCATTGCTGTAGTCTAGATTATCTTGTTACTTTAAGTCTGATGGCAATTATACTATAGAAGTCATGTTAGGGCTCTCTCTAGTGCTATCTCTACCTTTAGAGGCGTAAACATGCTCCATCATGGTATCCTAGTCATTCTATTATTAGGTATACCAGAACTAGCTTCCTGCATGGTAATCATTTATACTTTCAAATTCTCTCAGCATAAGCCATCTTGAGGCGTGAAACGTGAATGCGTGATTGATCACGTTGTAGTCAGTAGTTGTACCCACTAAATCCGACTTGCTTAAACCCCACCTTCCGTCCATCCTTTTTCCTCATTTTTCAACCATTTCTCATCCACCAACGTCAAGTAGAGACACACCACACACACAGATATGGTAGTCATAGACAGAGCAATGGCAACAGACAGGCCAGATGAATTCCTGATAACTGCTATAAGGAAGAACGACCTCGCCACCGCCCGCCACCTGCTCAACCGCAACGTCTCCCCAGATGAGCCTTACAGTGATCCGCCGCTCAGCGTGGCCATCAGGCACCAGAGCTTGGACATTGTCCAGCTACTCTACGAGCATAATGTCAAAGGAATCATGGACGAGTTCAACAGCACAGAGATCCACGTCGCCGCAAGGGTCGGCAATCTCGCCATCCTGGAGTTCATCTGGAACAAGCTCAAGCCTCGACACCAACATGATGGCTTTCTCCACCAGGCCGATCTCGACGGAATGACTCCTCTGCACGTTGCGGCCGCCTCTGGATCTCTGGATTGTGTGCGGTTTTTGTTGCGCGAAGGTGCGGACGTGAACTCCTGCCCCATACACGGTATGACCCCGCTGCATTATGCCGCGAAGAGCCCCAATGCACGGGAAATTATCGAGGTGCTCGTGCAGGCTGGGGCCCAGGTCGATGCTGCCGCCTGGAACGGAGAAAGTGCTCTCTTTGGTGCTGTTGAGTCTGATGACAAGGATGCGGTCGCAGCGCTTCTCCGCGCAGGGGCGAGAGTCACACTGCGGAATCAGTACAACGAAACCGTCCTCCACACTGCAGCGTACAGCAGTTCACTATCTCTCCTGCAGACATTGGTTGACGCTGGAGCGGATATGACCGCGCGGAGCACCTCAAACTCGACGATTCTGCACCGCGCAGCGGAGGCCGGGCGCGTAGAGACGGTTGCGTGGATTCTCCAGCATACGCATCTGCCGGCAGACGACGCGAACAGCTACGGCTGGACTCCACTGCACTTTGCGGCAGCAAAAAACCACCTCAGCACGGTCAAGTTTCTCGTCGAGGAATGCGGTGCAGATATCTCCGCCCTCCCATCATTCCCCAGAAACGCATCCGCGCTGCACTTGGCTACTCACTGTTTCGGCGAGGACCCAATCCCCCAGGCCAATTGCACACGACCAGTGGCCGACAACACCTCCCTAATCAGCTACCTCCTTGCGCACGGGGCGGACGTCTGGGCGCGCGCGGACGATGGCATTCTAATGGGCGGCTACGAGTCCGGAGAAAACATCTTCAGAGAATTGCACGAGTGCACCAGTGGGCCTGAAAGCGAGGATGATTGTAATACGGTCACCCCGCTTGACTGCGCCGCTGCTATCGGGAGTATACCCAAAGCGCAGGCTCTGCTTGCTGCGGGAGCGGACATCAATGCACGTAGTCCGACGGGCATGGGCTGGACGGCGCTGCTCCATGCGGTGACGGCACTTCCGCCGCACTCTCCTGGAGGCCCCATAACCCCGATAATCCGGTTTTTGATTCAAAATGGAGCGGATGTGCGGATTGTGGATACCAAGGGGCGCAGTGTGGTGCATTATTTGTGCTATTATCTGCGGGCGACAGAGCCTGTGCGGGAGTTTTTGGTGGAGACGGGGGTTTACAAGGAGGATCTAGAGGCTGCGTTGGATTTGAAGGTGATCCCTAGGCTTATGAGGGATCTGATATACCGGAATCAGTCATGATGTCTATTGAGAGTGATGGGTTGTACAGTCTAAGTAACCACTCATAGGCCTTCCAATACTTCTCTAAATGAACAGACATTGCAACCTATATGTATATTTGCTATACTTTGGTAGTTGACGCAGGAATGGGCCTCCATCTATGACAAGACCCAAGCATCAGTGTCAGGCTCATAGCTCCTTGTCTACATTGTCATGATTAACTGCTTGCTGTTAGCATTCGTAAACGATTATCACCCTGTGTACTAAAGGGAGATCAAGCCTATATGATAGGCAATACCCTGCGCCTATAGAACTCGTCTATCCAGTAATGGTGCTATGCAGGAGAATCAACTACCCATAATGCCACCAATGCACAATCGATCCTGATTAAATTGGGTATCTTTTAGCTATCTACGCTGGTAGCAACACAATTGTTTAGATACTAAAATTGGAGGCTCCGTTTTTCTTCCTGTAGTCCCATATTGTATGCCGCCAGGCCTGTTGCCCTGCTTTATATATATATATTCTCAATCTCAGCCTCTGCCGACTCGAGGGTGTTATCTCGGTGGTGATGTTTTCTTAGATGTTGATTGACGACCAGATCACTAGGAAGTGGTCCAATCATTTCGTCGTCTGAATGGGATAAATCATGATCTGATCTCCTCGCATTATCAGGGGTCCGATGCGCCATTGGGCCGCCTTAGCTTCTGCTCAGCACTCAACCACATTTCAGATGATAAATATATCAGTTCTCATCTGTCCAAGCCTAGGGTAGGCTCTATATTATAAATTTCTGACTAAATACGGCGGACTGTTTATACAAAAGGAACATATCGTATTTATGCGCTATTTTCCACCGAACCACACTCAGCGCGTTGTTGCTGTGGATCGGAAAGCATCTACTGTTTACTTCAACCTATTTGGAGGGAAGTCCAAGACCACTTACAAATATTCTTAATATCGGCCCTTGAATTTGTGTTCATGAGATTCGAACTGGCAAAAAGCAAGGCATCAGATAATCTCTCCCCGACAAAGCAACTAGTACACCAAAATCTCCTCATCTTTTCCTCCCCCGTCCCTCCATTTATTAAGCACCTTCTTCATATCCGCCGCGATATTCTGAGCATAGTCAGGCCCAGCGGCCCCGGCAGGCAAATCCGCTGGGTTCCCCCTCACCCAAGCAACAGGTTCTTTAGCAACACCCGCGAATTTCTTCTTAAGCTCTTCAACCTGCTGAGGCTCATAGCCGCGACCGAAGATCACCGCGCGAGGAGGCCGGCTGTAATCGTGGGTTCCGATCTCATTGGGGCTCCGAGACTGAGGATCGCGACCTGCAAGCAGATGCGGGAGCTCAGCCTCTGCAGCCTCATATGACAGGATGAAGTGAATGACTGAGGAGCATTAGCACCATACTTTGTTTATTTCAGGAATGTATATCAAGGACCTTCATATTCAGGCAGCAGGTGCTGGGAGATTGATTTCCCCATCGCGGGTATTTTGCCGCAGGCAACTACTGGCACCGGTTGAGTGAATGAAGACATGTTGCGAGAGCCGTACGCTGTACGCTGCGACTGAAGGTATTTCGGAGCATTGGAGACGGAGAATTATGGAGTAGGCTGAGGTCGATGATTCAATTTATATTCCTCGTTGCGGCGCGCTCGGTCTTGATGATGAGTTGATGACGTTCGGACGGAGCATTGTACAGTAAAACTCCTTGGTGCCGCTTAGCCATAAACTTTGGGCGCAGTTCGGGCCAATCGTGGCGACCCACCGATTTTTCGATTATTCAACAGTCCCGACGCCCCGCCCCCGACGAGTAAAGCAACGCCGTCACGTCCTCTTCGCGTTCTCAGATTATCCATTACATCACTGCATGTCTTCAAGATAAAGTAAAAGGCCTCAAAAGCAATACACGATGGTCGAAGCAATGACTGACGCGCCCGCGCCTCGCAAGAGAGGCCGGCCACGAACTGTGACGGACGATCAGCGAGTTCACGAGGTGGGTACATACCGAACAACTACAGAGCAAGTTGGACCTGACTCAAGGAAACCAGAGACGTCGAAAGCAGCTTCGCGTCGCGCAGCAAGCATATCGCAAGAGAAAAGAGACCACGATCGTCAAGCTGCAATCTCGCGTACAGGAACTCGAGTCGGGCATCGAAGAGCTCAGTGAGTCGTTCCTTTCCTTCAGTAATCTTCTGTTCGAGGCTGGGATTCTCCAAAATCAGCCTCGTGTCACAGCTGCTCTGCAAAAAATTACACAGCAATGCGTGTCGCTTGCCAAAAGTGGCTGCGACGAGGCCGAACAAGCACCTGCAGCCCCGGCGGAGGTATCGCCATCGACGTCTCCCACGGTCAGCGATACACAAGATATAATCTCAAATTACAATCCGCTCATAACGCAACTTGATTCATTGCCAATAATCGGTGACGCTTTCCAGTCCTCGTCGGACCTCGCGGCTCAATTACCCCCCATGCCACCCTACCAAGAACAAGCAATTCCACCGTTCGGAATAGTCTTGTCGTCTCTGAATATCCCCTTCTCACCCATCCCTAGTCCCGTCTTGAATTTCCCGTCCACAGTATCGCCCGACAATCTCTTAAAGCAAGGGCGCTGGCCACTCTCATACCGTCTGGTCCGACAATGCTGCGAGATTGGATATCATCTATTAACAAGCTCGTCTGGAGACGATCCAAGGGCCAAAGCAATCTTCGGCAAACGATTGACCATTGACGAGCGCAACCGCTATATCTCCGGATTCTTCGCCGCCATGCACGACGAAGTAGGAGACATGATCGAGTTGAGGACAAAAGTTCTCAATTCAAGGAGGAGGAGCTACTCGCCTGAACAACTCGCCGTTTCCTCTCGAACGTGGCAAATTGTCATTGAATCGGGTGCTGATGAGTGGATGGATGCGAGTGGTGTGCAAAGGCTGCTACAGGAGCGAGGGATTCGTATTCAGGACCCGAGCTCGCCCCTCTCCAGTCCCCGGTTCAATTCGGCTCCGCAGCTCAACGCAGCGAGCTTCATTAAATGTGAGTAATGCCGAGATCAATGGTTCTTTGTGTCTTCTTGTCCGTGCATTTACTGACCTTGTCGTAGATCTTTCCCTCTGCCCTATCTGTCTCGGTCGCGGACCAGCGTTCCGAAAGCGCGATGTTGAGAATGCCATTCGCCTTGCAACTCTTGATGATCCTTGGGCGTTTAACCCTGTGTGCGAAATACCATGATTTATGTATAATAACAATAATTATCTACAATAGATATAATCTCCGCTTACTTTGCATGACGCGACGATTAGAAGCAGGATCCCGCTGTGGAGTTGAGGAAATCCTTCCAGTACATATGTTCCCTATGTCCGCGAAATTTCTTTAAAAAAGCACCCTTTGCATCCCGGCCCTTCATTTTGATTGTCACTTTAGCGTCTAGGGGCTGGCCTTTGAAATCCAGGCCTGGACTCCAAAATCACCTATATTTTCCATTTACATTTTCTCCCTTTTTGGGTCACACAGATGCGCAGGCACATTTCTAGTCACGTCGACGCCAAATAGAGACTCGGTCATGGATCACCCCATTCTCACCCATGCCCACAGTGTGCGTGCGCTCTGGCTGCCAGTGCGCCACTCTCTCCAGGCCCGCCTTGCTGGGCTCTCGCAACGGGTCCGCATCGACAAGACCCTTATCATTGTAGGAGATCTTCTCACCGGGGTGGCTCAGGTGCTCCATGTAGGCCTCGGAGGGAGAGGCAAATGGAGGGCCGGGGGCCAAGGGGTCCTTATGACGAGGAGACTCCAGACAGATCAGATTGCCTGCAGGTGAGGGAGCAAGGAGCTCGGTGTGTCGGAGAGCCCATTTAGGACGGAGCTCTGGGTTCAGAGCACAGAAAAACTAGATGGTTGTTAGAAGGAAAGACCAGAAAGACCAGAAAGACCAGAAGGATTCAGGGTGGGTCGGAAATGGCACATCAAAAGTCCAAAGACAGAGAGTGAAGCATCTTGCAGGTCCCCCTGTAGAATGCAGAGTACAAGTGGAGAGAAAAAGAGCAATGATGGAATGAGCCCAACAGCGGCAGTTAGTATACATACCGTGTAATCATAAATAACATCAAATCCATTTCGAGGTACTCCAATTTCCTTCAACCAGGTATCATCAAAGAAATCCCCTTGGACGAAAGTGACCTTCCCTTTCCCAACTTTCTCGTCTCGCACACGGTACCGGCTATGGTTCTCCTTCTCCTCCTTCTTGCACGCATCGACAGCCGTGGCGCTGCACTCCAGGCCATAGGCATCATACCCAAAGCTCGCCAGTAAGAGTACATCGACTCCACGTCCACAGCCCGGCACCAGGGCCTTCCGCCTCTGACCGTCCTGGGTGATGGGCCCGCCAATGGTGCCAGCTCGCTGGACCAGGGTGTCTTCTAGCGCGGGGTTGGGAAAGCCACGATCCCAGGGCAGATTATCACCTTTGTCCCAGAGGGAGGCCCAGCCCTCAACATACTTGTCCCCTTGATATTTGGCAAAATATGCTTGAACATCAATGTTGGTAGGAGTCGTCATGGCTATGGGGTGGTGATGGAGTCGGGGGAAGTTGGAGGTGCTCGCTCTGGCGTGACAGTGATAAACAGGGTAAAAAATTAGGAGTAGTACAGAGTGGTCAGAAACTATTGACTGCACAGGGAAGTAAATGATACTGGGTGCACGGCGTCTGTTCTACTTATGCCTCTCTACACCCGTAATTGAGTGTCTTTACGCTGTGATTAGAAATCATTGTCGATGGGATAACCTCAAGCTCCGACCGCGAACCAAGAGTCAGGTGTTGGGTCGAAAGTTAATCGGTCTTTACCTGTTTATTCATCATACCGAGAGAGAGCTGTTGAGAAAAGTGGAGGTTTCTACTACAGTGGCATGGGATTGGCCCAGGCGGAAATCTTGGGCCCACCGTCGACTAAGAATTACGCTGCTCTCCATTGAGGATAAGTGGGTTCAGTCGATCTTCATTAACGCACTGAATTAATTCTAGTCGTTCGACCATCGTAGCTGGCAATGTGATTGATTAGTCGGACCAACTGTCGATCCACGGGGCTAGTGATTATAAGGTTAGACCCGCCCAAATGGGGCAGGGGGCTCCAGCAATCAAGCCTGGCTAGTCATTGCATCTACTCCGTGATGAGTTAGTGAGTTTATTAACTTAACTAGAGCTAGGAATGTATAATAATAATCACTCCGAGCGGACATGCCTGATGATTTAGCAAAGATGGTTGAAATAAGTTTAACTCATCACGCCGTAAGGAGGTGTTTTAATGTTGAGTAATGCACAAAACTTTCTGGTTATGTGACCAGCGAAGGATTCTCTTGCTGTATTGCACTGAAGCTATGGGACAGCGTGGAATTGAGGTCTGAATGCTCTTGGGTCAGAAAGCACTATAATAGGCGTGATGCCACTGATTAATGCACCCTTTGCGTGATTATTGTTTTGACACATGAAATAAGGACTTTGACTTATACACCGCCACTGGATGCCTTGTTGAATGGTTCTACTACGTTCACACCTTTACCGTGTCCGCCCTGACCTCCACCATGGCCTCTGCGGCATCAAATATTGATGCAGAGTCCACAATTGCCAACGACAATCTTCAAACTCCAGATGCCAAGGAAGAAACGGAAGATGTCTCAATCTATCGTGCCAGAGCGACATGGCACATGGCCCCCGAATTGCGCCAGATCCGGGAACGAGATGAAGCCGGGGGCGAGAAGCCCAAAATGCTCGGCGTGGCCTGGCAGAACCTCACCGTCACGGGCGTTGGTGGCGATGCCACATTCAATGAGAACGTCGTCTCTCAGTTTTCTCTCTTCCATCGCAGTAACAAAGTCAGCAAGACTAAGACCATCATTGAAAATTCATTCGGATGCGTCAAGCCTGGGGAGATGTTGCTAGTTCTTGGACGGCCTGGCGCGGGTTGCACGTCGCTGCTGAACGTGCTTTCCAACAACCGCCTCGGCTACAAAGAAGTCACCGGAGACGTCAGCTTTGGCAGCATGTCTGCTAAGGAAGCCAAGCAGTACCGTGGCCAGATTGTCATGAACACGGAGGAGGAAATCTTTTTTCCCACGCTGACCGTTGAAGACACGATCGACTTTGCCGCTCGCATGAAGGTCCCCTACCATCTGCCGCCGGGCATCACAACCCATGAAGAATATGTCCAGTCCTATAAAGACTTTCTCCTGCGGTCAGTCGGCATCTCGCACACCGCACGGACGAAGGTTGGCGATGCTTTCATTCGCGGTGTTTCCGGCGGAGAGAGGAAACGTGTCTCCATTCTGGAATGCCTCACGACTCGTGCAAGCGTCTTTTGTTGGGACAACTCAACCAGAGGCCTCGACGCCAGCACCGCTTTGGAGTGAATCAAGGCCATCCGAGTGATGACCGATATTCTCGGGCTCAGCACAATCGTCACCCTTTACCAGGCAGGCAACGGCATCTACGAGCACTTTGATAAGGTTCTACTTCTTGACGAGGGCAAACAAATCTTCTACGGGCCTCAAAAGGACGCTGTTCCATTCATGGAGGACTTGGGCTTTATGCGTGATCCGGGATCCAACCGGGGTGATTTCCTCACTGGCGTGACAGTTCCTACTGAGCGCGTCATTGCCCCAGGATATGAGGACAAGTTCCCACGAACCGCCGACCAGATTCGTGCTGCATACGAGCAGTCCCATATCAAGCCCAGAATGCTGGAAGAGGCCCAGAACTACCCGACAAGCAAAGAAGCAGCTGACAACACAACCGTATTTAAAGAAATGGTTGCTCGTGAAAGCACAGGGGTGTGTCAAAAAGGTCCTCCGTCACAACTGGCTTCGCCACTCAAGTAACTGCTGCCATTATCAGGCAATACCAGCTGATATGGGGTGACAAGGCCACTCTCCTTATGAAGCAAGGCGCCACAGTGGTCCAGGCACTCCTCGGTGGATCTCTGTTCTACTCAGCGCCTGATAATTCCGTCGGCCTTTTCCTCAAGGGTGGTGCTCTGTTCTTCTCCATCCTTTACAATGCGCTCATCGCCCTATCGGAGGTGACCGACTCGTTCACGGGCCGACCAATTCTCGCCAAGCACCGCGCCTTCGCACTGTACCACCCAGCGGCCATCTGCATCGCCCAGATTGCTGCCGATTTCCCCATTCTCTTGTTTCAGGTGACGCATTTTGGCCTTATCCTGTATTTCATGGTTGGCCTCAAAACCACGGCCGCGGCATTTTTCACTTATTTAGCCACCAACTTCATGACTGCCATGTCCATGACAGCTTTCTTCCGATTCGTTGGTGCCGCATTCCCTACATTCGACGCTGCAACCAAGGTCTCAGGCCTTTCAATTGTGGCGCTGTTTGTCTACATGGGATATATGATTGTCAAGCCGGTGATGCATCCGTGGTTCGTGTGGATCTTTTGGATTAATCCCATGGCATACGGATTCGAAGCTCTTCTTGGAAACGAATTTCATGACCAGGTTATCCCATGTTACGGCCCTAACCTGATTCCCAGCGGCCCTGGTTACATGGCTGAAGGGGGTCAATCATGTGCCGGTGTTATCGGTGCGATACCTGGTGCGACAAGCCTTACCGGCGACGAATATCTCGCAGCCCTGTCGTTCAGTCACAGCCACATCTGGCGTAACTTTGGAATCATCTGTGCCTGGTGGGTGCTCTTTGTGGCTCTCACCATAGTATTCACCTCTAGGTGGAAGCTACTGGGAGAAGGAGGCCGCAACCTCCTGATCCCGCGAGAGCTACAGCACAAATCGAAACATCTCTTGCAAATCAAGGATGAGGAAGCGCAACCTACGGAGAAATCTGTCCGTACCGGATCCGATACGTCAGGAAGCAGCTTCGGAAATGATCTGCTCCGCAACAAGAGCATATTCACCTGGAAAAATCTGACCTATACCGTCAAAACGCCTGAGGGTGACCGTATCCTCCTGAACAATGTCCAAGGATACGTCAAACCGGGTATGCTCGGGGCTTTGATGGGATCTTCTGGTGCTGGAAAGACGACCCTGCTGGATGTTCTCGCACAACGCAAGACCGCAGGCACGATTCACGGATCTGTCTTAGTGGACGGGCGTCCTCTTCCCATTTCCTTCCAACGCTCGGCTGGTTATGTCGAACAGCTGGATATTCACGAGCCCTATGCGACTGTCCGCGAGGCTCTCGAATTTTCGGCACTGTTACGCCAACCTCGCGACACGCCCACCGAAGAAAAGTTGCGATACGTGGACACCATCGTTGATCTACTTGAACTGAACGACTTGGAACATACCCTCATTGGTCGACCCGGCGCTGGTCTCTCGGTGGAGCAACGGAAGCGTCTCACCATCGGTGTTGAGCTTGTGGCAAAGCCGAGCATCTTGATCTTCCTCGACGAGCCCACATCAGGACTGGATGGTCAAGCTGCGTATAATACCGTTCGCTTCCTTCGCAAGCTTGCCGAAGCGGGCCAAGCTATTCTCGTCACTATCCATCAACCGTCCGCACAGTTGTTTGCGCAATTCGATAAACTACTCTTGCTGGCCGCCGGTGGCAAAACCGTGTACTTTGGTGATATTGGCCAGAACGCGAACGCTGTCAAGGAATACTTTGGTCGTCACGGCGCACCTTGCCCACCTGAAGTTAATCCTGCTGAGTACATCATTGATGTCGTGTCGGCAAATGACTTCCTCGATTGGAACCAGGTCTGGTTGAAATCCCCGGAACATGACAGCCTCTCCAAGGAACTGGATAGCATGGTCGCCGAAGCGGCAGTTCAACCTGCCGCGGCAAACGATGATCCGCATGAATTCGCTACTTCGCTCTGGACGCAAACCAAGCTCGTGACGCATCGCATGAATATCTCTCTCTTCCGAAACACTGAGTACCTCAATAACAAGTTCGCGATGCACATCAGTCTAGCGCTGCTGAACGGTTTTACGTTCTGGAAAATTGGAGACTCGGTTGTTGATCTACAGCAAAACCTTTTCACAGTGTTTAACTTCATCTTTGTTGCACCCGGTGTGATCTCTCAACTGCAGCCGCTCTTTATTGACCGCCGAGACATTTATGAGGCACGAGAGAAAAAGAGCAAAATGTACCACTGGGCACCCTTCGTGACGGGTCTTATTGTCTCAGAGTTCCCTTACCTGCTTGTCTGTGCGCTACTATATTACGTTTGCTGGTACTTTACCAGTGGCCTTCCTACGTCCGGCGAGCATGCTGGAAGCGTCTTTTTCGTTGCAGTAAGCCCGCCCACTTGACCTCTCGTTTCGTTGCCTTCCGCGTGTGACAGCTAACATCTTTCCAGGTCATGTACGAGTGTCTCTACACAGGCATTGGACAGATGATTGCCGCCTACACCCCAAACGCCGTATTTGCGTCTCTAGTCAACCCTCTGGTGATCACCACTCTCGTCTCTTTCTGCGGCGTGATGGTTCCCTATAGCCAAATCGTCGCCTTCTGGCGGTACTGGTAAGCCAATCATGCGTGTTCCTCGATGATTCATCTGAGTAAATGCCAGCACCCCATTTTACTGTAGGATGTACTACCTGGGCCCCTTCAATTACCTTATGAGTTCTATGCTGGTATTCACCACTTGGGACAGATCCGTGCATTGCAAGCCAGAGGAGCTGGCTGTTTTTGACCCGGCTCCCAACCAGACCTGTGGTGAATATCTCAACGTCTACCATCATGGCATGGGGGTGGGCACGAACCTTCTAAACCCAGATGATACTCTCCGCTGCCGCGTTTGCCAGTACACCACCGGTGGAGATTACCTCCGCACGCTGAACTTGAGAGAAGAACACTACGGATGGAGAAATGCGGGCATTGTCGTTGTGTTTGTGGTCGGTATCTACGGGCTCGTGTTCCTCATGATGAAGCTCCGGACCAAGGCCACCAAGAAGGCTAAGGATTGAGGGGATAGCAGGATTCAATTGGGGGATACGGACCTCACTATCTCTTGGGCTGGCCAGATTGCACCTCTTCGGTTTGTCTTTCTGACAGGGCCCGAATGGTCGAATTGTTGGTGACCGTTTGGCATTGTTTACATGGTCGTAGACGGAGTTAACTAGAGAGATACGGTATACAGATAGCTAATCGTCAGCCTTGTTTTCTCCACATCATGAAATGACTGAGCATCGTGACTTTGTGTACTATTTTGTGGAAGAAGTCAGTTGAACTGCGCTGAGAGTTCGGTGTTGGCTCTGAGCATCATTCGGACATATTCAAGGGGTTGTGAAGTTGCCCCCAGCTCTCGGTCCACCCCCGAGGGTGTCTCAATTTCATTTTCAGCTAGTTAAAGGTTAACTAGTTCCCAGACCCCGTCAAACTTTCCGTCTGACATCAATGGAGTGAAAAGTGTCAGAGTAATTATCCACTGGGTAATTTATCAATCACCCAACTGCCGCAACCTGACGCTTACTCATCTAATTTTTCCAATACGGCAACCGTGCCCCGAGTTGGATAGACCCCATTTAGCAGAGTTTTTCCGCTTCTCTGCCCCTAGATATACAGACATGATAGCTAGCCAGAATACCATCGTTGTCATGATGACGGTGGGTTCTTGATACGCCGCGTAGGAGGGCATATTGGCATTGAAACGAGGGCCAACTTTTTTGAAGTAGAAACTGAATCTATGGAGAGGGCTGTAGCAAATTGATTCAATTGTACTAGGCCAACATGCAGTTCACAACAATCTTGAGGAAAGAAAGTAAGAGTCGGTCGCGGTCCTTAAGAGTGTTGGTCCGCTTCGGATAGAATCCTCTAGAACCTCGTGGTGGAATCGCTTGGAATCCTTCTGCTAAGACGATATCCGAAAGGCCATGACACATGGTTCACCACCGGGCTCTGGCCCGTCACATTGTAGACATGAACGGATCCACTGCTAGTGTACAGTAACGTCGACCAAGGCAATCGTAGTTAATTAAACACAATCGTCGAGGATGATGTTAGGCTTCCGTACCGCAGTGAGGACAGCTCCAGTGGACGTGAAGAAGAAGAGAGCCCTATATAGAAGATGAAAGAAGCTTATGTACTGCGTACAATAATACAGAGCCTTCGAGATGATAGAGAAACACATACCATTCAAATGCGCCAAATACCACAGCAACCTGCGATACAGTACAATCTGCCGAAGTACAATGGACCGGGGATGGCAGAGAGCAAGCTTGGAAGACAAACCCTGCAAGCCAAAGTATCATGACGCTACTCTCCATTCCTGGAATACCACAGCGGCGTTCGAAGTCAAAGGAGGACACTGGAGACAGGGCAAGGTAAGGAACCGCGAAGAAGGCAGTCCATATGGCACTGACGAAAATGAAGATATTTATCTTGGTGAATCGTAAAAGGCAAAGCACTGTTGGACATTAGAACCTTTAAGTCAACAACTGCGGAAGTAACAAACGGGTTAAGCTTAAACCAAAAATAATAATTGCGAAGGTAGCTTGGACTAGCCTTACTACCCTTACTGCGAAATCCCAGGATGTGATAGATGCCATTGCAAAGAGTATTTGGCTCAGGTGTTTTCTGGTGTCGCAGGTCCGATAAGAATGTACAGAAAAGGAATCACGAGGCAGCCAAAGGGTCTTTATCATTGAAAGAACTCGACTGTAACCCAATAGTGTTCGTGACGGTACGGGATAGTTCGTCACCTGCTGGTACGTTTGAGTTTAATGGGTCTAAAAACGCTATTAGTAACGAAGATCATTAAGCTCTTTTACTATAATCTCTTGAAGTTGAAAATAAGTGGAGGCTACCGAGTACAGCAGTTCGTCGGTTGACATACCAAGATCGGCACGAGGCCAAATTAATAATCAAGCCGACAGTAAACTTAACTAGCGTCAGAAGAAGTTCCCAAGAAAGAACGCTAAGTACGAGGACCTGTGTGTTCACACAGATCTCCAACAACGCAAAAATTGATTCAATGGGTCCGCGGGAGGAAATAATAATCGCAAAAGTAGCGTTAGAGAAGAAATTCCTACGGAAGAAAGCTGAGTGCTTGCATCGTCAGGGTTGACCGAGATCTGAAGCGACGCAATGAATTGATTTTACTAGCCTAAAATTAGAACATATTATTCTTTAGATATTGTATGTATAAAGCTGACGACTCATTTCCATTGGGGAATTGATTTGTGTACTGTACCAAGTAGTCGAAGAAGTCAGTCTTGTGGCGGGACCCACTGGTTTTTCGATTATTCAACACTCCGACACCGCTGGAGGTGATGAATCAACTACCCATCGCCACGACTTGCTCCCTATCCTTTTTCAGTTGGAGGTGAGGGCACGTATCCGGCTGAGAAAACACCGAGAACTTGTCAGGTTAGCTTAAATCCTCTGAACAAAGTTAAAGATCATGCTTACAAGATCATTTGGAGGAAGGTTTACCCCCTGTTGCGACACCAGGCACTTGCTACTCAGGAGGAATGAAGCCGCAACATCGGAAATAATTCCTGCTCTATGTGTGAGAAGAACCAAGTTGACTGGAAATCAACTTGGACTTCACGTTGTATATGTACCCTCATGTTTTCCCTCAAGAAGAATGATTGAGCTTCCTTTACATTACAACACCCCCAGACAAGTAATATCTGGCATTTCCCTCACGGCTTCCCCAAAGGGGCGGTATGGAAATTCACCTAATGGCTGCATGACTCCTGCGTTAATCTTTGGGTAATGGCACACAAGTCTCCTAAGCGAAGATTGTGGTTAAGGATTGCGCCGAGTAAGTGGCCTCCAAAACGGTCAAAAAGGACAAGAACAAATCTTCGAGCCCATCGAAGGATTGAAGGAAATCAAAGAGTGAATCAACAACTCTTGGCTCCCGATTCAACCCGTTGTCGCTAAATTCAAACACTTTAAGTTGCATCGATGGCTGCACAATATCACCAGAACTGAGCGCCCTGAGAAAGTCGACTACCCCCGGACAGTTCCTGAGTGCCAGGGAATGGAGGCCTTTCAAAGAGAAAACAGAGGGCACACTGTGGCAGAAATGGCGATCAAGGCCAATTTTGTCAGTGGCAGAAACAACTGTTGAGTGTTCCCTGGAGGTAATTTCAGTACTTGGTTCAGAAGCAAATTCCCGTTTGCGAGAGTTCAGCGTATTCCTCCACAGCCAACCTCATCAATCTCGATTTCTTCTAACGCTACAGCATTGTCGCGAAGCAACTTTCCCAACCCCCTCATCGAGAAATAATTGGCGAATGATTGCCGCAATCTAAAGCGTCAAACACCACTTCATTTGGCAGCAAGCCAAGTCCGTGATGATAAATCCGGCAGGGTAGCTCGTTCTTTATTGGACTCTGCCCGAGTTCAAATCAACGCTCGGGATATTCACAGTCGTACCCCTCTTTGGGTGTTAGCAGAGGAACGAAATCTATCAGAGGTCCCCTTAAGGCGTTGCTTCTCCCTGTGCTTTATCAATTGTCTGATATCTCAGCAGTGCTGCTGGTGAGGCGGGAATGTCCTGGGATATATTTTGGCCGGTCATGACGTGCGACATCGCTGCAGAAATTCGTTATACGTTACTGTAGTAAGCTCGCTGTAGGATGTTTCATCTATTGTATCTGTCGCCCGGTCAGGTGCAGCCTTGTCGATAATTTTGTCTATAGAGCAGTCCTTGTCTGTTTACGCGACAAGCATGAGTAGGGCAATGTCACGTGTCGGGGCGTGGGCAGCCAATAACCGTGATTACGACTAGGGGTTCAACCTCGGCGGAAGTTGAACCAAGTTGGACCCCCCTCTTGCGCCGTCCTATCTTGCCACGACCAGGATGGTCTCTTCTGGTATCATTCACGCGTTTAGATCCAGCCGACGCTACTATAACGTTTACATCATAAATCGTAGGGTACTGGAGTAGTGAAATACCCGCAAGTCAGGTAATAGGGTTAATTACAAACTTAAATCTCCACAAATGTCAGTTCTTTGATGGTAAAATGCAGGTTACGTCGTCAGGGTCCACTGTCGAGCATGATGAGTAAACATTTCCGACCTGTAGTTAAATTGAGACACCGTTAATTTCTAAATGTTTGGAAATCCAATTTGAGAATGAAGAGTACAATGGCCCAGTCCTACGTATGGAGTTGCGTGGCTAGCTGGTCTTCCTGTGTATAACTTTTTACTATACAATCTCTCAGGAGAATGTGTGATTCAACTTTGAAACTACAATGTACATTAATATAATAGTGAGGTGGGGGCGATCGAGCGGAGACTTTCGTCCAACTTTATTACGAATCAATACTTAAGTTACTTTCTCTGCTGATATTTCTTCCATTTCCAGACATTCATAGTCTGGCTTTAGGTTCCAGAAGCTGGCCTGGACGTCAACACGCTTAAATTTGGATTGATACTTAAGGAAGGTGTCAGGGTTCTGATGATCCAGTGTTTGGCTTCTCGCCGCTTGGGAAGCATTTGCTATGAGCCTATTAGTGTGTGTTGGAAGTTCGTATAATAGAGGAAATGGCCCACGGTCAATTGCATTTGCAACGCCCCCTCTAATCCCGTGAATTCTCAATTGGTGTCGGAAACACGTCCGTTGAGCAAGCGACATAAAATGGTGCCGTATTGAAGAAAATGTCAACGCACGGGTGGGGTGTGGTCCATCAATAGTCACCATGCGAAGCACTGGTAGGGTTTGTACGTGCGCTTCCCATTCAAGGGTCCATGACTCTCTTCCTTTCGGTGGCCTTTTATCTAATAACTCGTCGGCTGTGTGGATGCCCCTGAATGCCTTGTCTGCGATACCTGTAACCATAACATAAAATATGAAATTTCTTCCAAGTATTTCTTGCTCTGGTATCCAGTTTTGGGACTATTTCGCCGCAATCAGCTGTGTAGCGTTGGGGACAGAGAGGACAATCTTACATGACAGCCTCATCATCATAGCGGTGGCCTTAGAGAAACTCTGGGTCTATGGTGATCCAGTGCTTGACTTCCATATTTTTCGAATCCCATTGTAGATTGAAGGAAAGCTGCTATATACTAACTAGTATAGGACTCTCAGATAAGTAGGGTGATGGACAAACTCTATAGTAGAGACACTCATTGGTATCTCTATAAGAACTTGATTCAACAAGTGCACCTGCTCTCGCACCGGAACAGGAGAACAACGAGAGCGAGAATGCATCTTGAAATCTGGCACGCTCATGTATGTAATCATGGTCATCGTCTTCAAATAAATGTCGAAGAAGTATATCGAGATCCCTGCTAGTGACCGGAAACTTCTCTCGATGTTTGGTCTAAACTCCATACTTCTGAGTAAGTTCGTTCCGGATATGCTATGTAAGGAATTAGCAGTATATGGTAGCATACTTACCTAGGGTAGCTCACATTATAAAGATCATCTTTCACTGTATCTGGCAGCTTTCTGCAGGTCTTTTGCTGCCATTCAGCGATAAAGCAAGAGAGGTTAGAACAGACAGTCTGCTGAGTAGGCAAGTCTCCTTTCCGCAAAGTAATAAACGCCTCTGAATACAGCTTCAAGATTTGAACGGGGGATCAGGTTGTTCCTTCCTGAAATATCGATCACCTGGTTCATTTTGAGAAAGCATCCATCTATATGCCGTCAGCAACTAACGCAACATTAAGTTAATAGATAAACATTTATTTGTACACTTTCCAAAACGCCACTGAATCGCGATATTTTTTATCGGTAGCCGGAGCCCTTTTCTTATGACTGATTTCGTTTGGTTTACTTTTTTGTTCTTCCTGGTACTCTGTTGTGAACCCTCTTAATTCAGCAAACTTGCGGAGCTCCTCCGCTTTTCTCAGATCAAAATCATTTGAAAACGAGTCACGTGACATTATTGAAGAATAGAAGGAAAAGCTGAGAGAAAATAGATCAACAATAAAAACTGCTTGTAGATAGGAAAGGAGAGAATGGTTAAGCAGAGAGGAGTCCCTCATATTTAAGCTAGCGATATAGGGAGTCTAGTCATTTAGAATCACTCTGTCACCCACCGATCACCCATGCTCACCCATGGTGTTGGATAGCATCACTCAGCTCACCTTCACTCACCCACACTCACCCTATGGTTTAGCGCCTCTCACCCGTAAAGTAGCAGGCCTTCAAGGGCGCATAAAGCTTCCGACCACGCTGATAATACTGGATAATACTGGCTAAAGTACGGCTGAGCGGACGGGAAGCCCTGTTTTCCACACCCTATAGTCGTATGTGCCAGAATGACGGCGGACATAAACTATAGAGCACGTAATATCAACCATTGGCCACTTGGCTGCCGATCGAGTTATTCCTCAGGCACTCCGTGACTTCAATACTGTGAGAGTGTCTGCTGTGGTGTCGTCTCACGTAACCAATTCGAGTCACAGCAATGGCATGAATGTTTCAATCTACTTGCGCGCCTTTTTCCTTCTGATTCATAGTCTTTCATTCAAGACACTGCAACTACCAGGAGACATTTTCATAGCCCAGACGCGGGAATGGATCGGTCACACATTGAACATCACAATCAACCATCGAGTCTGCTCGCATCATGTGATTTCTACTTATCGTCTTATCGTCTGGCACCTTATCATCTTATCGCTAGACCACTGCAATTTTGTGCTGCTCTGATGGCTCCGTCAGCCTTGATATTCCATCGACCAACGACTATTTCGAACTCATGAGCCTTCAGAGCCTTCCAGCGGAGGTTACCCTCCAACTCTTCCAATTGTTGGATAACATCGACGATGCGCTCCGTCTAGGGCGTTCCTGCCGTCAGATGTATCGTATCCTAGACCGTCCAGGTCATCGGCACACGATCATGAAGTCGATTATTGTAGGCTCCAACCTCATAAAATCCAGGTCTCTAGTAAACAATTAACTCGTCATAGCAACGCTCAGAGTATCACAAACACGACCTCCAGCTCTCCTATCTGGCGCAATTTCATGCGGAATGCACAGAAATCTACGCTACACAACCGCGGCTGCCAATGTCCCGCCGACCGGACACGGACATGGTTAAGTTGTTTCATGAACCGTCGGCAGACCTCCTCGCGTCTCCGCTGGTCGTGGCGGAAATCGTCACCAGGTGGCATGCAATGAAGGAATTGTTTGATCTCTACTGCAAAAAGCGCGTTCGATCGTCGTATCTGGCGGACTGGGAGACATCATGGAACTGCTCTCCAGAAATCGACGGGGAATATGAAACCGCCGGACGATCTACTAAAGGTATTTGCGATTCCTTTGCGCAACTCACGCTGCAAGAGAAGCAGCGGGCCTACGAGCGATTTTACCGTGCTCTCACGGCCCATTGGGTCGCCGTGGAGTTGACCCGGGTGATCCGAGTCTCCAAGCACAAAACGGAAAGGGATTTCAAACGGTGGGAAAGGAAAGTCTACAATCGATGGGCCGACAACCCACAACGTTCCCTGGAGGAGAAGCTGGACATTTTTGAGATTCTGGACTTCGTGTGGCACTTCCTGGTCAGCAAGATATTTGACCACTCGGGAACTGTTGCCGACTGGATCGAGGTGGCACCAGAGTCTGCTACGCCTCATGGTTTTTCTCCCCTCGATCTATACGTTTCGCACATGGAGGGCTCAAGTCATCCCTCCCAATTGGAACCAGATTTTCACGAAGCGCTCGAAGATGACTACACGGGTATGTTTATAGACGATCTGCGATCCATCATCCGTCCGCCTCACGTGATCGAGCTTCCGAAGGCTCGGTCTGACTTTGACCAACCGGAATATGTGCGCAAGCTGGGCCTCTTGGACCAGTCTTACCGGTGGGAACAAACAAAGGCCGATGGGTTTCAAACATACCATGTTGACCTCTATGACATTGATCTCCCGGATACAGATATTCTGTCGAGCCTTTCAGCTATGGCATTGCGCGCCCAAGAGGGGGATTCGTGCCAGCTGATCACAACGAGATATCGAGATGACGACAGAGCAATTAACGAGATGAAATGGGAGGTATGCAGGGAACAATGGGAACGTTACAAGGAGAATCCCTGGAATACCGAGATGAGAGGGGGCATTTTCTTCCGCCAAGAGACACAGATCCAACTATTCGAGCGCATAATCGACCTTGAAAGGGAAAGTTGTTAGCCATTCGATCAAGGTCCTGATTATGACAATCATTTTACTCACCCGTACTCTTCAATTGTATAGCGGATGCATTTGATAAGAATCCCCCGCTCCCATCATACTTGACCACGATCATGTTGGAGAGCTGCAGTCATTCCATCCGGCGCTCTCAAACCAAAAGATTGACCGAAATATGGATGAGTGCAAGATGTGGGAAAGACCAGTTCTAGGCATCTCCGACGGGGATTCGTGGAAAGGGCGGGTTGATGGATGCGATCTTGTACCAAGACGAAGTTTAGCAAAGAGCATCATAAAAGAGGAGAAGGATGGGCCACTGTGAGGTTTTGAACAAAAAAGAATACAAGACGAACGCCTGATCGCAGATTTGTAAGATTTCCCAGAGGCTCGATGGGCAGGAAACAAACCTCAACGAACCCAGGAATATCCAGGAGACTAGAGGTTGCTGAAGCTCATGACGAGCCAAACACGCGTAGAGACATCAGAAGCGAAGAGGGCTTGGGTCCACATATGATGGAGAAATTTCAAGGAGCAGCATGGCACGACACAGGAGACGGGGCAAAGACACATTGGTGAAGAGGTCCCACGCAGATGATCAGAGTGAATAAGAAGACGAAGAGGAGAGGAGGGAAGGTAAAGAACGGCCAAGTACCAACGGAGCCGTGAAATTTGTCCTCAGCGACAGATTGATGCCAGGGAAGGAACAGTCATCAAGTCACCAAGAAGGAAAGCGCACAGCTTGGTCATGACCCATCCGCTCCAGCCACGGTCCAGCAGGCTTGGGATCTTTCAGCACATACAGACATTGTGATCGGCGACTCAATTTGTGGAAGGCTACACTTGTCGCTCCCGGTCGCCATCAGACAGCTCTGCGATGGCCATTGCCTCGTCGGCTGCCTCAAGCACGGAAGATGCCTTTCGACCCGATTCGCCTCGAAGACAAGTTGGCGAATAACATCAGGCCACACCGAGTTTTGCAAGGTATATTTGGAAATTGACGAGGCTGGGAATCGATAGTTGTATCAGGGACACCAGAATCAGCCATGGAAAGGGCCCAATGACGAGGATACGTCTGGTGATCGTGAAGGTGGTGACCAGAGAGGTGATGGAACGCGCTTAAACGCGTCGCGTGCGTGCTTGGTAAAATACAGTTTTGCTGCAGATCAGCTTGAGTCAAGGAATGATCCGACGAATGATCGAAGAAGGAGGATTCAGGGATTGTGGGTCATTTTCTCGTGGGATAGATGATAGATCTGTCAAAACGGGTGGGGGTCTTCGGAAAAGCAGGAGGTGCAGCACTAGGAGGGATGCATCCTGCAGAAAAAGGCTGTTCATACCGTCGTTTGTCTTGGAGTAAGCTGGCTTCTACCTACAATTGCTGCAGTGGTTAGAGATTTGAGATGTTCTTCCAGCGAACAATCAACCCTTCAAACAGTACCCTTTCAGTGCGACGTCTTTTTCCAGTTGAATTGTATCACTAACGCGCAATTCCATGCGTACTTTCGTATTGCACGATCCTTGTCAGAGGACTGAGGCTGGAGGTCACTCCCGAAGAGAAAAGAGATACGTCAACTTCGGTAGCGGCCGGGGAACGTCTGGACTTCCGCTGCCAAATGGGTCTCTCGCTGATCTTTCCAGAATCGATGTTGCTTGGCTCGTTCCCAACGACGCAGAAAGAGGGATTGCTGTGAATCTCATTCCAACCCATGTGGCTTCGAGTTTAAGATTTGAGCTCACAGTAGGGAGTAAGTCGAGGATACCATTAAGGTGACTACGGATTACTGTTCCGGAACTCGGAAGCATAGGAACCCAAGCTAAATTGCACAGGCCTTTTGTTATGAATTCTTCTGTCATCGGCCCGAGCCGTTCGGTCGTCTGTGGGGTTGTCCTCTCATAGTGTCCGCACTCCACAGACCTAATTGCCGAGTCGAAAATAGGTTCGTACGGAGCATAGTGGTGTCGATCGGAGCTTCATTCGGAGCTGCCGCTACAGTCAGTAGCGAGTGAAACCGCTGGAGTCCCTGTTCAAGGAATAGATTCGGCTGGTGTGGGTACAAAAAGCAACGAGCAGTGGGTCCATGTGGGCAATTCAGCAAGCGGCACGTCGAGAGAATGTCACAATGAACAGGGATAAAGCGTTTGACATGGTAATTCGAGACTCTGACTGTGTGTTGTCGGGAGCTTGATCATTCGCCTATTCGTCCGGCTCGAAGCTCGATCAGGCATACTGCAGGCACACAAAGCACGCTCCATCACTGATTGTCAGCGATTTCTCCAGAAGGTCACAAACTGAAGAGTGCAGAGGTGGTAATTTTGACAGCCCGTATTCTCTCCAAAGGGCAAATATCGAACGATCCGCAAGCAAATGTGACAGAGCAATCTTACCAGCATGAGAGCGCTAACAGGCCCTTTTCCTCAGTTTCTGAGGTTCAATCCTTCAGAACGACTTCGTGGTATTTTGTCCACCTTCTCCTCGCGCAAGCTTAAATAGTCCCCTTCTGCCTCCTTGAAATCAACGTCTTAATTCCCAACCCAAGCATGCTCCGCAACTATCTTAGGCCTCGTCCCCTGCTGCTCTCGCTTACTCTTCGTTGATATCTCGTCTCTACCCAAATTATCATCTTTAATCGTCGAGTTCGTCTTTTTCCTTCCTTTTTGCTTCTTCGCAAAAATGACTTCCGTTCGCAGGCCATTTAATAAGAGCCGTGGCGCAGCCCTAAAGAAAGCGCGCAAAGGTATTTCTTCCTGCTGATCTGACCTGTCGAAGAGCGTCAGCAGATACTGACATACCACTGTTAGAATTCAAGGGTCCTATTGAAAAGGCGGCAGACAAATATGCAATCAAGTTGCTTGATAAGGCCCGTGACTTCAACGAGGACTGGTCGACGAACACGCGCGGGAGGCCAGTCAAAGCGCCTGTCACTGAATCTCATCAACGATCAGCGGCGCTGTTGCACCAGCGGGGAGAGAAGCTTTCCGAGGCGGACTCCTGTTCACGCTGCAGCAGTAATAAAGGCGTGTGGCAGTCGTGCGTGGTGGCGCCCATTTACAAAAATCGAGCACTTTACTCTTATGCCTGCTCGAATTGTATTCATTACAAGCGCCCTTCCGAGTGCTCTTTGCGCAGGAAGTTTCAGTCAAACGGAGGAAGCGCTTGGGTTGATCCTAAGAAGACGAAGTGGACTGCCTTCGACGCATCTTGTGGTACGCATGCTGATGAAAGTCCAGGGAAATCGTTCGGCGCGGCGGGCTGCTTGCCGTTATCAAGCAGGAAGAACTTGAACGGGTTCAACGAGAAAGGGAACGTCAGCGTGAACGTGAAGCCGAGTCGGAAGCCCTGTCTCGTAACGGACGGCGAACCGAAGTTTCTGTCGTGGTCCATTCACCTCCTCGGGCCACCAAGCAGTCCTCCTGTGTGAAGATAGAAGGCCGAACGCTGCGAGGGTCCAACAAGCTTCTCAAGGAAAAGGACCTCAAGCGGGTCAGAACGTCAATTATCAAGACTAAGAACTTACTTTGGGGGCTCCGTGCCCGCAAAGACATGTTGAAGCGGCGCCTCAGACTCCGGGATAATTCGCGAGTAATGAATGAAGACGACTCCTCGGGGTCGTCGGATTCGCCGAGCGATTCGGACGTTTCAGTCTCTTCAGACTCCTCCAACTCTTCGCATGATTCGGACGGTTCGGAGGCTTCGGACACTTGTGACTCCTCGGGGGAGGGATATGAGTCGGACGAGTAGGCCAGGGCTGGGTTGAAGAGTTGCGGTTTCGCACTTATACCGGAAGACCAAGGCTCTTTCGTTTTGTCCTTTCCTATTCTTCGTTTCTTCTGTTTTCTTTCATGTTCGCAATTCCCAAATTGCAAGTGCCGTAGTATCATTGAGTTAGCTGCGTGATTTTTCCGCCTGTTCTCTCTACTTGTGTCTTCGGCTTACCCTCCTGGACTCTGTCGTATTATTTCTCTTGACTAATGGTTGTTGTCTTGCTTGTCTGCTGTTCCAAAAACTGCTCCGGGTTCTCCTATCTGTACTACATTGATCTTTACCATTGTCGTTTTCGGGAAGACGTAAACTCGTTGCAAGTGTGTTCTTAGCTTCTTATTCCGAATGTATCTGGATTCCGATTTTGTAGCGCGGGAAGTTTCGACTTGGAACCCTCCTCTCGAACAGGATATCCAGCTCCTCAAAGGTCCTCCCTCGGGTCTCTGGGAGACACAGAAAACAGTATATGGTACACAACAGACTTGTCCCCGCGAAGAGGAACCCCAATTTGCCCTTCCAATTCCCCTCGTCCTCGTTTATGGCGTAAGGAATGACAACCGCAATGACAATTGACCAGACGTAGCAACTGACGGTGGCTAAAGCGATGGTCAGCCCACGGAGTTTCACCGAAGAGACTTCCGCCAGCAGCACGTAGCAGACCGGACCAAGCGTCAGATCGTAGACGAAATTGCAGACGAGCATAAGTCCGCATTGCGCCCAGATCGTACTCGTCCGGCGCGGAGCAAGATCGATAGCCCCGATGGCGAGCTGCAGGATCATCAACGACGCACAACCGAACAGGTACATTGTCCGACGGCCGATGTACGCCAGCAGCAACCACGAGAGGCACGTCCCGACTAGCCCGATCGCCGTCAGACCAATGTTCATTGAGAACGCATGCGAGGCGTCCAGCCCGGCCACCTCCATGAAATGCACAGCGTAGTTGATGAAAAAGACGTTCCCCGTGAACGCCTGCATATTGTACGCCATCACGCAGATCACCAGCCGGCGGAGATTCGGCCCGCGGCAACACTCTCGATACGTCGGTCGGTCGCCCTGGAAGCTTTCCTCAAGCCGCAACGTCTCCCGAATATGCGCCAGTTTGCGAGCCACGTGCATCTCAGCCCCAGGTGCGATGGTCAGCCGACGCAGTGACACGGTCGCGGCGTCGTCCCGGCCTTGCTTACAGAGCCAGTACGGTGGGTCTGGGACAAAGGCGACCAGCAGCAGCATGGCCGTCGGGAGGGCCCACTGCGCCGCGATGGGGATCTTGTACGACCACGTGGTGTCCATGACCGCTGTGCCCTTGAGAATCCCCGAGGCAATGAGCGAGCCGATCGAGAAGGCGAGGTTGGTGATTGTCGCGACGAACCCGCGCAGCACGAGCGGGGTGACCTCGCTGACGTACGCGGAGGCGCAGATCGGGTAGAAGGCGATGATGCAGCCGTTCACGAGCTCGCCGACGAATAGTTGGGCCGGTGTGTGGCTGAAGAACTGGACGAAGATAAAGCCAATGGAGAGACATGAGCAGATGGCGATTATCACGCGTGGACCGAAGCGATCGTAGGCCAGTCCCGACAGGAGAGCTCCTATGGTGGCGCCGAGGAGAGTGGCGTAGTTGAAGGCCGACAGCCACCGGGCGGCGATGATGTATGTTCCTTCATACTGGTAGCCGTAGGTTCGCTTAAAGACGTCCAATCCGACTATACTGCGCACGATACCTCCGTCCTAGGGAGGTCAGATGGGATTCTTAACACGGTTGACGAGATGCTTACAATGCCCTTGAGAACGGTCGCCTGTCGGGTCAGCGTGATCATCCTAATGTCACGAATGTCCCAGTTCTCACGTACCAGATTCATAAACAATCCCCAAGTCACTGCAGGCCAGTGTCGTCGCAGTGCAACCCAAAACGTCTGCGAATGTTCGTCACTGGTGAAGTCGAGCGATCGTTGAGAGTCGTCGAGGGCAGAGGCGCCGATCGACTGCACCAACGCCGTGGCTTTTTCAGTCATTGCCATCGTCCCTGACAATCATGACAGGCAATATGCGGGGGACCGAGCATTTTGAATGTCTACTGTGCACTTTGAGATTGCGATAACGCTCACAAGGTCCCTCGCGTCGAATCTTGGCCATCCGATGATCTCCAATCAGCCAGCCAGTATTACCTTCGACCTCCGCTTTGTGGTCAATCCGTCGCTTGGCAGATCTCCACGTTCGGCAAGCTGAGATGAGGAAGATAACAGACGAGGGCCATTCCGATTTGGAAATCTATGAGGGTAGCCAAATAGTGCTGCAAAGTAATAGGCAAACGACACGCTTATTTTGGTGCCGCGTTACATCTGCGGAGGACTTCTGACGCTCTCGAATGAGTAGAAATTAAGCAAAGAGACAAGACGGCTGGCATACGGCCATTTCAGGTTGGATCCATAGAATATATCATTGTATATTCACATAACCAGTTCTCAGAGACTCGTTCTCATCGTACAATTAGGTTCGATGGACGCAGCTCTGAGACCAAGGAGAGCAGGTGGTGATCGCATGACTTGGCTTCGCTCGGGGGCACACGGTCGCACTGAGTTGTACTGGGGTACTTGAAGGCAGAGGAGGTCTCCTCTTGGTCTAGAATTGGCTACAGGAATTATTACAGTATGAAAGACAGTTTTCATTTCTGATCGATCCACTCCAACCCCAGTCGCGTGCGAAGTGATCGCTGAGCCCGACTTTCCAAGTTAGGATTTAGACGTCGATTGCGGACAATAGATGTTATTCTCATACTCCGTTGCATTGAGGAGTCCTCTCGGAGTGATCGTTAGCTTCGCTGTCACGGGATCCTTCATGGAGCTGTTAGGGCACATTATATATAGAACGCGATGAGACTGGCGTTTCGCATCAAGCACCCCGAGTATGATCATCCCCAGCTTGTTCACGTACGTTTCTCGAAGAGATAAACTTCAACTAATTCAAAAAATACCAGAGACATGGCAGTGGACGTAGTATCGAACATAAGGCTAGAATAGGAATGTAAAGACCGTCATTTGGTCCATAGCGCTGATCGAAGACCTGAGGTCGGAGAACAGCCATGTTTTCGTCCAGCCGACCTGCACTTGAATCTTGTGCAAAACACAACGGAAGGTTGATCTGTAGCTTCCATGAGTAGTAAGTGTGTGCGACAATGACATTGCTGATTTATCGAAATCGACCTGTCGCCGTTGTTCTTCATAGTCCTCCGTCGATGGTCGGCCAGCTTCACAACGACCTCCCATTCGCACTGCTGTCAGATGAACGTATAAATAGCTGAACAGATCTTTGGTTGAACATCTCATGAGAGTATGAGCAGTCAGAGTACGCTCGGTCTGTGGAATAACGTCCCTCATACATTCATGCGTGTCCTGCGCCTGTCGGGATCTTAATATATATTCGATGCATGCATTGTTCAGGTTTTGCGCACATATGGGTTGTTTGTCTGGTTTAACACTGTCTTGGAGTCCAATGATGTCTTCTTGTTGCGTCCAGCGTTGAGCTCTTGGTCCTCATTTCAGTCTATTTTCTTTGGCTTATAGGTTGAAAAGGGAAGACATTCCACCAATCACAGCCCGGGTGGTCTAGTGGTATGATTCTCGCTTAGGGATTACCCAAGCATATCTGCGAGAGGTCCCGCGTTCGATCCGCGGCTCGGGCCAGTTTTTTTTTTTTATTTTTTTCCTCGTTCTTTCGGCTGCGCTGTTTTTTCTGTCGAACAGAAGTAGCGACCCCCGTTCCGCAAAGTTTTAGGTTTGTTCTTTGAAGATCTTGGTCTTCGACAATGGTACAAGGCATGTGACGTCCCAAAGGTACGCAATAACGAGAGCTTTCGTGGTAAAGGTGTGGCCGTGAAACGACAGAGAGCCATGGGCTTGGTGGTAGCGGTTCAGCGGGGATGGCACACGAATAGGCCTGCAAATCTCCCGCAGGCTCCCGAGTCATGTCTTCGCGGACGTAGTAATTGCGCTACATGAGAGTCGGACGTATTCCGCTGATACTTCTCTGCACATAGCTAACCATACTTAGCAAAAACCATCATTTCAAGGTGTCCTCGAGTTGTTCGTTGAGATTCTGGCTGAGTGATAAAACAGACACTTCGTCATGAAGCTATTCCAGGTGGTTCGAGATGTGGTAACGGGATCGTCGACACTTTCTCGAGCCACCACTGCTGACAATCCACGGCCTGTGTCAACCAACGACCCTGGTCACTGCTATATGGATGCCTGTGAGACTCGCCTGAGAGGTATGGAACATCTTTGCATACAACATGTTTCTCGTTTCAAGAAGACAGTCAAAGAATCTCTGTTTTCGAATCCCGCCCCAGGCGAGCGCCATCGAGCACTTTCTGACTTGCCCACGACTCCAAGAGGATATCGAGCCTGCTCAACGCTACGTTCCATCTCACCCCCCACAGCACGAGCATCTAACACCTTCCTATTCTTTGACACCTTCAACCATCATCTACCGGTTTGGGCGAGCAAGTTCTACTACCTGATGCCTATATCTCCGCGGAAGTTTAATCCAATCGAGCCTGTACTAAGAGTCGAACCAAATGTAGTGGTGTTTGTGACCGCATGGACGGCTAAACGCGTCCCTGACGGTGATGCTAACGTCGCTACCTCTTCCTCGACAGGCGTCTTCCACAACACGTTCGCCTGCTAGGGTACGATCGCCACCGCGGAGCCGGGATTGTCCGCGTCGATGTTCTCGATGGTATCCAGGAACAAGGGAATGTAGGGGTACGCGGTCACGACCATGCGCAAGCCCTCATTCACCAACCTGCAAGAGATGTTGCTCACGTGCTTGGGCTCATCCTTGATCATGACCAGGAGGTCGTTCCAGCTCGCGAGGTTGACCCAAGGCAGGCTCAGCGCCTCGTCCATGTCCACGTTCCTGAGCCTTTTTGTGAACCGTTATATCCTCATGTTCAAGACCGAGCATGGGAGCAAGCCAAGCCCATGGTCGAAAGTGAGCCTTGCAGACCGCCATATTCACGTATGCGGCGCGTAGAATTCGTTGCATCTGCATCCTCTAGGAACATGTTCATGGACTGACTTGCCGCTGGACTACTATGAGCCAACGGCCCCCAACGCGCTTACAGCTGTGGCGGTGGTCGAAGATGGTCAAAGATGACTGCGTGTGGACCAGAGATGGCTTTCTGCTGAGGAACCCAATGTGGCTGTCGCGAATTAGGGTGATTCTCACCTGGCTTCTCATCCTTTCCATATCGCACTCAATGTTCTCACCCAACGTCGCGCGACGGCGGCGACGCTAAAGCAGCGTTCACATATTTCTCAGGGCTATATAAGGCTATTTGAACATGGTTCAGATACATACGACCATAGGGACAATTACCGTGGGAAAGACTAACGTCAGAGCCGGTCGACAGGTTGCTCTGTGCCTGAACTGATAGGAGCTGACACCGTGGAAATAGAATTCGAGTAGATTAGTTGCTCACAAATTCTCATAAGCCGCTTGGTCGTGCCAGACCATACAGATCAAGCTATTTACCACTGATGCGGACGAACTGAGAGGCTCAGTACGAAGAATAATCACCCTGGCCAGCACCATCAGGTTTCCAGCACCAGTAGAATTTGTGTGACCGGTGTATCAACCTGTTTTTTCATATGTTTGGACTAGATGTGCTTCGAGGCAACCGTTATTGCACAGGCAAATTGACTTACCCTTATACTAGGCTTCCACCTTAAGCTTGGCGCTGTCGACCACATCTCGTTCTCCTTCCGAATCGTTTCCCTCTGCTTCTTGCTAGCACTCTTCAACAACGTAGTAAATCCGACGATCTGTCTTTCTTTTGTTTCCACATCACCGTCAGATGTGGATGTTCAGGCCACTTAATATGGATATTTAAATCCCGTTGTAGGTAGGACTCCTTGAGGGTAAACGCTGATGGTTGGTCACTTCAAATCGCCAATGAAACTGCATCCTTACACAGCCTCACCAACCGCTTCCCCTCTTTCTTCCCGAGGCTTGGAATTTTTCTTTTATTATTTCCACATTCCTTATATTTTCCTTTGATAGTGACCTATGAGCCAAGGTAAGTCTCTAAAAAGCGTATCATGACCCTAGAGCGCTTCCTGTTATAACGCAAAGCTACGCGCGCACGGTCGAGAAGTTTCTTGTAAGCACATTCGACGAGATAGCTAGAACGGGTAAGGCTCGACATTCAACACAGCTGAAACCCAGCTAGAGTCGAACACAACACCCCCCCTCCCCACAACAAGTAAGGCTGTGTGCTCTTTATCTGTATTCCGGACTAATCTTACGTGCTTTGGAACACTTATTGAGCTCAGTTAAAGTTCCTGTGTCTTTGGCGTTATGTCGAGCAGGCACGGACGTGATTTTGTAATGGGAAGTATACAATCCTCGTAGCGATAGCTTTCAATTGCTAACTAATAAAGCAGGAAAGCAAGACCATCAATGCCGCCAGGAATGAGGTGAACGGGTTTGAAGCAATGAGTGTCCTGCTGGATGATTACGGAGCTATGCTCGAGATTACTGAAGAGGTGGTCAAGGCTGCAGCAGGAAATGTGCAGAGTGGAGAGAGCTTGATTGATCCAACGCTAGTGCCATTCAGGCGCCTTGCATACGTCCCATTCATGGTTACGTTGAGTCATCCGCCCATCAGGGTGATTTGTACTCTGCAGAGACCAGCTGGATTCAGTTACATCATATGGATGACTTCAGAGTTGTTGGGGCCGGAGGAGGCGTAGTAGTTGCTTTCACTCGTGATGTGCCTTGCGCTTATGACAAGTTGAACCCTGTACACTCACTCATTGAAATCCTGAGAATACAAGGTTTCTAGCAGGTGCGAATGTAGCCTCGTCGTTCTTGGCATGTTCCTTCTTCAATTCTTCTTTCAGCTTCAGAGCGTCTTCCAAATCCATCTGCGATCCAGAGCCATAGATCCAATTCGGCTGTTGGGGTGGAACATTCCGTGTCGAGCAAATGCGATAGGTGGGATCGACAAGACACAAGGTAAGAAAACGGCAGTGTCCCGACTTAGTCTTGTCCTGAAGCTCTAGCGGACCCGTTCGGTGCTGAAAGGCACTGGGGAAAGAAATTAAGCGACCTGGAGGCATTCTCACTTTCCCTAGCTCCTGCCACGCAGGCGCGCATTCTGAATTGTTTCAAATCAAAACAGCCATCCGATATACTTCACATCCCAGCACGCATACTTCTCTTCAGGGTCTGGCTCATATATCCAGGAGTCCTCGTCATCATTATCTTCCGCACGGTCGAAATCACTTTCATTGTCATCGGAATCGTCACCTGCGCCGATCTTGTCATAAACATATTGTTGACTGTCGTGCCAGAGCCACTGTCGGAATGAAATCCGCGGCTCTGTAATATTGTCACAGTCAAACGCGTAAATAGCATTGACAACTATATGCTCGTTTGCATTTCCTTCAGTATGCCAGTCATCGCCAGAAAAGGATGGGATATCAGGCTCTGGCTCAATACTGTGGAGCTTGGCTACAACTTGGAGGCCTTTGTCTCGAAACTCGTCCTGTAGGGTAACTGTGTAGAATTGATGGTCATCGTCCTTTTTGCCTTTTGGCTCAAAGGCCCAGCGGTGGAGTTTCAGCCAAGGATGAGACAGAAGGAACTGCCCCGTTTCAAACGTCCGGCCCCAGTATTCCTGATCTGCAGGACCTATTATGGCCTTTCCAGTCCGCCCTGTTGTCCAGTCTTCATAGGAATAGGCAGTACCCGGGTCCGAGTGCTCGAAGAAGAACATACGGGCATACTAGGTCAATGCAGTGCGCTGCAGTCCCCATCGTGTTTTCCAATCTTCCGGAATCCTTTGCGTATGAACCAGACACCAATGGACCTTATCCTCGGATTCGGGTTCCTGAAGATATTCCTCTACTTGGGCGCACATCTCGTCGTATTGCTCAGTAGATAGTCAATCAATCAATCAATCAAGATTCTATTAACCTGTTAGAGCCCGTCTATAGAGGCGACTAGCTATGCAGGCGCTTCGCCGAATGAAGCAGGAATCTAGTATCCGAACGCCTATCCCATAACCCACAATTGCAGAAAGACATAAGAAATTGGCGTATAGCCACATAGAAAAGTAGAATCACAACTAAAGCAGCCTGCCACTAGGCTACATGTCTTCCCTGCGCCATCTTGCGCATTAGATACCTATCCCACTCTATTCAATGTAGTTGTTCCTCCTGACGTGTTGCCGCGCCTAGAAAGACCCCTTCTAGGCAGCTGTTCGTTCCATCTAACCATCGTCTTCCACATCTATTCCAGAGCCTCTTAGGAGACTTCCTTGTTCCTGGTCCTGCTCTGCTGGTTCCGTTAGTTCTGCTTGGCGGAACTGGCTAAGCAGGCCTGTTTGGTGCATGAATTCGGCGACGTAGCGGATCGCCTGCGGATCAGATACAAGCGTGTCGTAGTCTGATATATTCCCCCGGAATTCCCCGTCAAAAAGCTTATTGATCATCTTTCTGCGGGCCTCTGCGTGCAACGAACACTGCAGGAGAACATGTTTTGGGGTCTGCGACCCTTCTCCGCAGCTGCATCGGTCCGTTTCAGAGGCCTTAATCTTAAACAGGAAATGGCGCAGATCAATGCGCATGGTGCGCATCTGGATGATGATTGATGTGTGCGGCTTCGACAGGCCTTTATATAGGCCTAAATTCTTCTTATGAGGGGCCTTAATTAGCCGCCGTGTCGGCTTAGCTCCCTTTTCCATCTCCCACTGTTTTCTCCAGCGCTGCTGGATTCGCTGACGGACAGCGCGTTTGGCGGCCGCAGCCAGCCGGATAATTGGTTGTTCCGGCTCCGCTGAGCTTAATTCAACTTTCCTTCGTGCGGCGGCCCCCTTCGCTGCCTCATCCGCAGCCTCGTTCCCTGCCACGCCCACGTGGGCAGGGATCCAGCGTATCTGTATGTCTGTTAGCCCGCTCGCCCCTAGGGCCCTTACCTTTCTATATATTGTGTCCAGAATGTATTGGCCGGAGGGGCGTCGCGGGTTCTGGACTGCCTGAATAGCAGCTCGGCTGTCGGAGAAGAGGGTGAGCGAACGGGGACATATGTCTCTGGTTTTGGTGGTATCAAGTGCCATGCGGATTCCGTCCAACTCAGCTGCGTATACAGTTGAGTCCATCTCTGTGCCTAGATGGTTTCTTCGGGTCCATTGTTCGCGCAGGCAGACAGCGGAGGCCCCCACGTGGCCCTGATATCCACTGCCGTCAGTGTAAATGACCAGTCGGTCATTGTCCTTGCATATTTCATTATGGGTTTTTAGTGCGGCTTCATAGTCCTCAGTCGTGCAATGGAGAGGTGGCTCCCATGGGGGGAGCACATGTGCCTTTCGGGATTCCCATTCTTCTAGACGTCTGGGGGTAGTGTGTGCTAATGGGCCACCTCTTTTCCTGAGCGCTTCTAGTGGTGTGAGCCCGCTTCGTCGCGTTTCTATAGTTAGACGTGGCTTCCCTGTGAGTCCCCGCGGGCACGCGAATTGTGGCCCTGTTTGGATTCGTATGGCAGTTTCCTCAATGGTTTGCTGCATCTGCAGGCGGATTGGTAGTAGGTGGAGTTCCATGTTTAGTGCAGCGGCAGCAGTTCCCCGGAAGGCGCCGCTGATCAAGATAGCTGCACGTTTCTGGATCTTAGTGAATTCATTAATGATCTTGCTCTGGTCAGTGGCTGGGAATAGCCTGCTGGCAGGGCTGAACCAAGCCGCAACTCCATATAGAAGCTGTGGGATGACTATCCCGCGATAGATCGCGCGCATGGCAGTCAGTGAGGCACCCCAGGTAGACCCAGTGATGCTTCGCAGCGCTTCCAGGCTGCCATTCGCGCGATTGATCACTTTGGTGCGGTGGGTGTCAAATGATAGGGTTTTATCAAGCCAGATGCCGAGATATCTGGCCGACTCCGTGGGTTGGATAGTTAAATTCTGATGCTGGATGGGCATTAGGTGGGTGGTGTCTTGATAGGGATTATCCCATGGTTCTTGTATGGCGATGATGTCGGCTTCTAGGACCTTAGGGTCACGCAGGAACTGAGCCATTACCACATTCTTGGAGCGGTGCACGTTGTATTGCAGAATCTGGAATAGTTTATGCATTTGACGGTCGTTGTGGGTTGTTCCGTATGCTCTTTCGACGGCCTCCGGTGAACTCGGGCGTCTGGCTCTGTATTGCAAAATTGATTTGCGGGTCTATTTCCATCGGTTGGAGCCCATTCTGCACCAGGTTCTCTATATCCCTCTTCCGCTTGTTCTTCCGAGCGTGCGTGCTGGGGTTTGTGTTCGTGTCTTTGTCTTGGAGGACTGAGCTGGGTTGCCAGTCGCTCATGGTTAGTGGCTCTGAGAGTTCGTCGCTGCTGTCATCGTCCTCATGGTTATCTTGATATATATGTAGGCGGGTACCACGAGCTGCCGCGGTTCGATCATTGCGGAGCGCTTTCGGAGGGCGTTCTGTCTCGTCAGTTTGGCTGGGTGGGTTGACGTATGCGTTGAGTTGATCAATGAGTCGGGTGCTGCGGCGGGAGCCTCCTGAGGCGTTGGTAGTGGTTGATTTTGATTTAGACCTGGCGGGAGCTTTGGCTGCGAAATCGATGCCATCAACTCTTTGGGCTACATGGAAGGGTTGTTGAGATGGCTCCGATCTCGCTTTTCTAGGCCCCTTGGATGGCCTAGTTATCTCCTTCCTTGCTGCGTGTGATCCCCCAGATCCCTTTGGTCCCCCGCGTCCCTCGGTTAGCTGTGAGGCTTGTGAGCTTTCCACTGGAGTGGCGCTCTGTACGGCAGTGGAGTCTGAGCCGCTACTCTCAGAATCCATTTGGAAGTCTTGCAGGTAGGGGGGAATGCGGTGGTACCGCTGGCGGTAGCAGGACGCAGCCTGCACCTTATCCACCTCCTCTGCGTACTTCTTACACCCTTTGGACCAGGCAGCGTGCGCGTCCCCGCAGTTGGCGCACTTGCGCGGCTCCTGGCCGGTGGTTGTGGCTCGCTGGGGGCAGTCCCGGGTCTCGTGGCTGCCCGCGCAGAGGCCACAGGTGGTTTTATTGGAACAGATGCTTCCTATGTGTCCGTATTGTTGGCAATTAAAGCACCGGCGGATACGAGCGGACCGGTCGTACAGGACAGTGGTCAGGATTGAGGAGTCCCAGATGGTGCCTGTGTCGATGGCCTTATTCGCGGCTTGGGGGGTTGAAAACTCAATCACTAATGCAGAGGACTTCTTAGTCGGTTTGCTAGTCAGCCAGGCGAGATGAATGATCTGCGCGGTGTCTCCCCATGCAAATATGTTTTCTGCTAGGATCTGATCGGCCACCCGCTTCGCCTCCTGGGGGTCCTTCAGGTCACCAACAGATTTCACCTGAACGTCATGGACGACCGCGCCCCAGGTGGGCAGGCGGACCACGGCGCCTTTGTGGAGGGCGCTGGCCCAGGAGGGGTGACAGCGGGCGATCTCCGCTTCCTGAGCAGAGCGGAGGCTGAGGCTCAAGTCACCTGACTTCAGCTGGCGAGCCGCGACGAATTGCACGGCAGCAAGCGTCACGGCCACAGCGGTTTTGGAGGCCTTTACGCGGGCCATTTCAGTGCGGTTTTTGATCTCCACCGCCCGCAGGCGACGGAAGGTTTTAACTGCGCCCGCGTCAGGCAGTTTAACGATCACTTCACGGTCTTTGCTAAGCTCCGAGGGGGTGGCCCCGGGGCTTGAGGAACCATGGGAGGAGACCGTGTGGGCTGGGGGAGGTGCCCCCGCTGCTGCCTGCGCATATGATCGGATCTTGCTAGAGAGTGGAAGAGATTGAGTAGTCAGGACGTTCTGCGTGGAATGGGTTGTCTTCTTGATGTCGAGGGTGATCTCGCGGAGGTCGGCGACCGCTCTCCTCCAGTCCTCACCGAAGGGGCTTTTGATGAGCTCCCCGGTGAGGTTTTGCGTGGCCGTAATTAGATCGACGATAGGCTTTGGGACTCCCTGATTATGAGCCTTTAGATGGCTCAGATATACGCTCGTATCGTGGTAGAGGTCCAAGACGCGGTCATGCAGATTCTGACGTGGCCCGTTCCCGTTGCCAGACGCGACCGTCAAGGGCGGCCATTTTGGCTTCGACGACGACATGGCAATCGAGACCCTATGAAATTAGGGTCAATCGATAGCGGTCGCCGTCACGAGAAACTGAGCGAATTTTCAGTTCAAAAGAATGTGGTGTGGGCGAGAAATTTCAAAAATTTGTTCTGCGTCGAAGTTGTTGTTTTTGCAAGGATCTGATCGCCCACGCGCTTAATCTCTTGGGGGTCGCCCAGGTCGCCCACTGATTTAACCTGGACGTCGTGAACCACCACACCCCAGGTCGGCAGGCGGACGATAGCCTTCTGGTGGAAGGCTGTGACCCAGCTAGGATGGCAACGGGCGATCTCAGCCTCCTGGGCGGTGCGGAGGCTGAGGCTCAAGTCACCTGACTTGAGCTGGCGTGCAGCCACGAATTGCACGGAGGCCAGCGTGGCCGCTAGGGTCTCTTTTGAGGCCTTAACACGGGCCTTTTCGGCTCGATTCTTGATCTCCACGGCTCTCAGTCGTCGAAACGTCTGGACAGCACCAGGATCAGGCAGTTTGACGATCACCTCACGGTCTTTGCTGAGCTCCGAGGGGGTAGCCCCTGGACTTCTGGCAGAGCTGTGGGAGGAGACCGTGTGAGCCGGGGGAGAGGCCCCTGCGGCCGCCTGCGCGTATGACCGGATCTTGCTAGAAAGCGGAAGAGATTGAGTAGTCAGAACGTGCTGGGTGGTGGTAGTGTTCTTTCTGATGTCGAGGGTGATCTCGCGGAGCTCGGCCACCGCCTGCTTCCAGTCCTCGCCAAGAGGGTGTTTGAGGACCTCTCCGACAACAAACTGGGTATTTCTGATCAGCTCGATGAGGGGCTTTGGGATTCCTTGATTATGAGCCTCTAGATGGCTCAGAAAGACGCTCGTATCGTGATGTAGGTCCAGGACGCGGTCATGCAGATTCTGACGTGGCCTGTTCCCGTCGCCGCGCGCGACCGTCAGGGACGGCCATTTCGGCTTTGACGACGACATAGCGATCAATACCCTATGAAAATAGGATCAATCGATAGCGGTCGTCGTCACGAGAAACTGGGCGAATTTTCAGTTCAAAAGGACGTGGTGTGGGCGAGAAATTTCAAAAATTTGTTCTGCGTCGAAGTTGTTGTTTT